TTACTATGTGTTTCCAACAACAACCATTGAGAATAGTCAATGATTATTTAATTGATCACTCATGTGTAGCTCTATTTGTTTTCTCTGGAAACCACTTTGAAGAAATCAAAGTATAGTACAACAACCATGGATAATTTCCTACCATTTTTGTCTATAACTCACTATTATTTGTCTATTTGTTTTCCTGAGAAACTATCTCAAAGATACCAATAGGTGAAATAACAACCATTGATAAGGTCCTACCACTTTGTCTGTAATTCGGTAAATCTCCCTATTACTATGCTATTCTTTTACTCTTTTAAATTAAAAAAAAAGATACATTGGCCATACTGGCTTACAGTAATTTTTTTCTCTTTTTTTCCCATATTATCTGCCTTTTGCTTTGCACTTTATATATTTAGCTTCTCATATAAGAGAAACTATATGTTATTTAAGCTTGTGTTTCTAATTTATCTCACTTAACAATATGGTAACAGAGTGCACCCATTTTCCTACAAATGACTCAAAGTTATCCTTCTTTGTGAGAAAAGTACTCCATTGTGTATAAATACATTTGCTTGATCCATTCATCTGTTGATGGACATATGGACTGTTCCAAGACTTAGCTATTATGAGTTGTGCTACTATAAAATGGGTATATGTAATCACTGTAATATGTCTTTAACTCTTTGAGGAAGATACATAGAAAGGGAAGAGCTGGGTCAAATGGAATTATTAGTTTTGGTTTTTTGAGGAATCACCATACTCATTTCCACAGTAGTTCTACGAGTTTGCTCTCCCATCAAGAATGAGGAGGGCTTCCTTTCTCCCCATGGCCTCTACAGCTTTTATTATTTCATTTCTTGAAAATGGCCATTCTTTCTGGTGTGTGATGAAATCTCACTGTTGTTTTAATTTGCATTTCACAAATGACCAGTAACATTGAACATTTTTTCATATATTTATTGGCCATTTCTACTTCTCCATCTGAGAAATCTCTATGAATTTGAGACGCCAATTTTTAAAAATCACCCTTTAAATTTAGAAGGGCCAGGCCGGGGATATAGCTCAGCGGCACAAGCACCTGCTTAGCAAGCACAAGATCATGAGTTCAATTCCCAGAACCAAAAATAAATAAATAAATTTAGAGGGGCCTTATTTTATTGAGTTCTTTGTATAAAAGCTTGAGGAGTATTTATGTTAAATCTTCCCTACATTTCTTATACAATTCAACAGTGACTCCATCTGCACTTGGGCTTTTGTAAGTTTTAAATTATGTTTTCAATTTCATTTACTAATATTGGGTTATTCAGAATTTTTGTATCTTCTTAATTCAGCTTTGGTAATTCATACATTTCTAGAAATCTGTCCCTTTTTTCTGTGTTTTCCATACTATGAGAGTAAAGATTTTCAAAGTAGGTATTAGTGGTCTGAATTTCCACAGGATCTGTAATGATTTCACCCTTTTCATTCCTCATTGCATGAATTTGAGTTTTTTCTTTCCAGTGTTGATAAGATTGGTTAGGAGTTTATCAATTTTATTTATTCTTTCAAAGAACCAACTCTTTGATTCATTAAGTCTTTGTATTCTTAGTTTCCAATGTGTTTATATCTGCTCTGATCTTTATTAATTTCCTCTCTCATATGGGTTTTGGGTTTGACTTGCTCTTCTTTCTCTAGAAGCTTAAGGTGCAGCATAAGGTTGTTTATTTGTGCTCATTCTGTTTTCCTGATGTGAGAATTTACTGCTATAAATTTCCCTCTGAGAACTGCTTTCACTGCATCCCACAGGTTCTGGTAAGTTGTACTTGCATTTTTGTTTGACTGTAGATATTGTTCAATTTCTTTTTTTTTGTTGTTGTTTTTCCTGGTACTGGGAATCGAACTCACAGCCTTGCACTTGCCAGGCAGGCGCTGTGCTGCTGAGCTAAATTCCCAGCCCCTTAATTTCTTTTTTAATTTCATCTGTGACCCATTAGTTGTTCAGGAGGGTATTACATTTCCACGTGTTTATGGAGCTTTTGCGGTTTCTTTTGTCATTAATTTCCAGTTTCATTGCATTGTGGTCAGATAGTATGCATGGGATAATTTCAGTTTCTTTGCATTTACTTAACCATGTTCTATGGGCTAGTATGTGATTTCTTTTAGAGAATGTCCCATGTGCAGCTAAGAATGTGTATTCTGAAGCTAGGTAGAACACTCTAAACATCTACTAAGTCCATTTGTTCAGAAGTTTGGTTCACTTCTGATATTCTGTCTAGTTATCTCTTTGTCACAAGGGAGTATTAAGGTATCCCATTACAACTGTATTATTGCTTATTTGATTTTTCATGTTTATTAATATTTATCTTACACAGTTGGGTGCTCCTGTATTTGGTGCACAGATATTTATCTTTTTCTCTTACAGTTTTCCCCTAACAAGTATGTAGTGGCCCTCTTTATCTCTTCTGATCATTCTTGAAGTTCACACCGTCTGCAAACAGTACAGCTACCTCTGCTTTTTTCTGGGTTCCTGTCACATGGAATATTGTTTTCCATACTTTGACTTTGAGTCTATGAATTTCCTTTTGAGTTAAATGGGTCTCTTGTATACAGCATATTGTTGGATCTTTTTTAAACATGTGTTTTACAGAAATCACCCTGGTTCAATGTGGAAAACATTTAAAAACAAGAGTAGAGCCCGGCACTGTAGAGCAGACCTGTAATCCCAGCACTGTGGGAATTTGGGGCCAGAAGATCCCAAGTTCAAGCCCAGGCTGAGCAGTGGCTTAATAAGACCCTGTCTCCAAATGAATTGAAAACGTGATGGGGATATAGCTCAATAGTCCTAGTTTTCTATCTCCAGCAACACACATGTGCACTCACACACATACACACACACACACACACCCGAATTATTTTAAAAAACAAGATTAGAAGGAACAAGATAATGAGAGGCCAGAGATGGTACTACTTAAACCACAATGATAGAAGAGGACGAAGTAGTTTGGGACAGATTCTGGATACATTATAAAAGATTTGATTACTGACCACTTATGTAGTGTAAGAGGAAGCAGTTAAAGGAGGTGGCAGAAACTTTTTAAGAGGTGAAACCTTGTGGTAAGTATTCTGGTTATGGGTGGGGGTGGGTGCCCTTGATGGGGAGAGGGAGATCTCATCTTCCCCACCCCCTTTTTCCCTGTGTCACCTGGGATTGAACCCAGGACCTTTGCTCAGGGCTAAATTCCCAGCCATTTATTTTAGAGACAAGATCTGGCTACTCTGCTAAATTGGGACCCTCTTGCCTCAGTTTTCAAGTTTGCTAGAATTATGGGTATGCACCACATGCCTTGCTTGAAATTTGAGCTTTTATCTTGCAGCCTTGAGGTCAATGTCTTTACTGCATGTATTCTCCACCACGTCTCAGCCTTGCTTGATCTAAGATCAGTGGGGCCAACCACTGTGGATCTGAAACTTTCCAAACTGTGATCTAACACAAACCTTTTTTCTTTGTAAGTAGATTATCTCAGGTGTTTGTTACAGTAAAGTAACATAGGATATAAGTGACAGAAAGGTATTGGTAATACATGTCAACGTTGAACTGGATTACAGGTTATCAAGAGTCATGTTCTTACATAATTTCTAGTGTCAGTTATTTTTACATTTTCATTCTGTGCTCTCATGAGCAGTATATAGAAAGGCATTTAATCTTGTTTCCCACATACTAACGTGCAGAAAGGAATTTGGCCTTCCTCTTTGAATGTTATGCTAGATACAAGTGTTGTTTACTTGCCTGATGAGCCCTGTGTCACACTGGATAGTCTAATACAGTAATGTGATTTATAGCTGGGCTTGTCCAGGTCCATGGCATTCTAGATTGAGGGGAGAGACACATATCAGAAAGACCTTAAGGTGGAAGCTTTGGATTATGCAGTGTCTGTCAACTTATAGACAGATTAATCTGGTCAATCATACCTATGTGATGAAATCCCAATTAAAAACTGAAATTTAAGCTTGAGCTTTTCAATCCCCCAAATTCTGTTTTCTCCTTCTTTGTGGTTTTGTGTTTTAGTGTTTGCTGTAACACCCATGGATATGCATCGTTCAGATCACCCTTCAGAACTACCCAGCGTCGAATGTAGTTGGCTGGCGGCCTCCAACTGCTGTACTCTTAGATCCAGTTAAGCATGTGTGCCAAGGCCACCCCACCTCTAGGGTTTTGCCAGATGTCTGCTGAGCAGGGCAGAGACATAAGAGCAGGTCATTTCCACAACACTCTAAACGCTGCTCAAAGGCACCTTTGCCTGGGGTCTCTCCGTTGGACTGACCAATGCTGTCTCAGAGCTGTGCTGCAGTCCAGGTGTTTTCTAATCAATCCTCCTTCCTCTTCCCTTTTCACAGAGGTGAAGACCTACACTGCAGTCTGAAGGTCTCTCTACTCATACCTGGTCCTACTTCCTCTTACTCTTGTTTCGTCCAAGAAATACTTTCCCATCTGGTTTTGTTTTGGTATCTGCTTCCTTGAGGGCCCCAACTATCACCCAGGGTTTTTGAGAAGAGGTTATAATGGATGTGTAACTCACTGTCTTAATTACAAAATCACTATTAAGTTTTTGGTTCTTCAAAGCTTACAAATTTCAAGTATCATCACAGAATGGGGGAATGAATCACTCCCAATGCACATATATCTGACAGTGTTTGTTTGTTTGTTTTTTTGTTTTTGTTTTTTTCTTCCAGTACCAGGGATCGAACTCATGACCTTGTGCTTGCCAGGCAGGAGCTTTGCCGCTGAGCTAAATCCCCAGCCCCTGACAGTGTTTGTTTACATGTTTGATTTACTGAAACATAAAATATTCCATCAAATTACCTGGGAAAATCCAGGTAGCAGAAATATATAACATGTCCACTTCTTTAAGGGTCTCAAATCAGTTATAAAAGGCCATAGATCATTACTCATACATATATATGAACATATATATGTATGCATGCATATATTTTTTTTTCCATGCCTTTTAAGTGAATTCTACTTTCTGTACTTTTGTGGTGCTGAGGTAATACCTTTCCCCAATAGGACTGCATAGGTATTTAAGGTTAAGTGTGAATATTACATGAGGTCTCAAGTCACTTCATCAATCCTATTTGAACTTTGGGCCAAAGCAGCATATTAGACTGAAGGACACACCTTCATGTCCATGGATATGAATGTAGAGGAGAAAGGTCTAAGGGAAACAAACACTGACTGCGCCACACGGAGAAACGAGTCCTAGCACTCTGCAGTCATCGGCAGTACAGACACATACACAGTCTTCATATTCAAAGTCTTCATGGGGATGTCTTCTGTAATTTCTAGAATGCAAAGAAGAAGTTTTTAAAATCATTAACTATTGTGGGTAAATATTTCAAAATTGTAACTGCCCATGTAGTAAGAATTTTTGCTTCATCTTAAGAAAGGCCTGACCCTTATCTCAGACCCTAGGAGGACCCTCTAAGTCCCAGATGTTTCCTGATAGGAGTGCCTTTGTTACTCAGGGTTGGCATTAGCCTCTGCTAATGAGATCACTCAGACAGAGATCAACTGTGCCAGCAAGCAACCAATGATACCTACATAGTGAAATCTCAATAAAAATGCTGGACGCCAGGTTCCATCCAGTGCTCACCAGTTGGTTACTGTGTTGTCACATTACTAGGGATGGGAGGGGGTCACACTGACCATCACTCCATGGGGACAGGATGACCTGAAGCCCCTTCTTCAAGCCCCTCCTAGAATTTGCAAGATTTTTTTTTCTTTGCTTGTAATTTGTAATCTCCTCCTGCAATAAATCTGAGTATAATTACCTTTATTGAATCTCTGAACCCAGTGAGGTTTGCAAAACCCCTGAAGCTATATTTGGCACGAGAGGTGATGGTGGTCCTATATAGATTCTTTGTTCTAAGTTGACAGTTAACTCCTTGCTGTTGGAGTTACAAGTTTTGGGCAGACTACTAGGAATTTTGGGAGGATTATGCCCTCACGTCTCAGAGTGACTAACTCTGGATACTGCCCAATATGATTTTCCCCAGAAAGAGATATTTTCTATGCCTAGAAACATAGGAAAGGCTCAGAAGCAGTGTCAACCCACTAGCCCAGACATGTAGTTTCTAAATAAGACTCCCCATAAGTGAAACGACAGCTATGTCCATATATGGGCAAGTGGAAATACATAAGACTGAGATGTGATGCTATCCTTGAAAGCTGGATGTTACCAAAGACTGAAGGGACCATAGCCCAGGATACAGGATCCAATATGGCCAACAATGCAAGCTTTGCATGTCTAAAGCATAACAGAAATACAGATGATTAAAAGATGTTAACTATATAAAATATTTCAAAAGGGGGGCATCCTTTTTTTTTGGTCTTTTTGAGACAGGGTCTTGCTATGTCGTGCAGGCTGACCTTGAGCTCACTTTGTAGCCCAGGCAGGCCTTGAACTCACAAGGATCCTCCTGCCTCAGCCTCGTGAGTGCTGGGATTATAGGCGTGCGCCACCACGCCCAGCTAAGGGAGGCATCTTTTAAAAGCAGATTTTATTTGCCTACTGTGGGACATCATGGTTCTAGCCAAGTCTGAATTTGAAGGGAAAGGACCAGCTTTCTCTAAAAACAGGTCTTATCCTAGTAGAAAAAAGCTATTTCTGCAGGCACAAATACTCCCAAGGCTGCCTCCTCCACAGTGATAACTACAGGATCTGGAGATGAAACTCAGAGTCTAGTGGAAGAAGCGACAAGACAGTAAAGAGTTTCTTCAACTGTAAGTACTTGGGAGCTTTCTAATTTATCAAATTATTAATACTTTATGGAAGACAATTCTGAAAAAAAAATTACAATGAAAATCAGAAAAAAAAATGCTAGACTGGAAAAAGTCCCAGTTTTGTGATAATCTTGGGTAGATCACTTAACCTTTGTTATATTACCTTTTAATCTGCCTAGTTAACCTGAGAGAAAAGAATATATTAAAGTATAGGTAAGGCCTGGTTTATGACACATAGGTGACAGTATAAATATGTGAGTCACACAGATATGATTCTAACCCTCATCCATGATTTCCGTGCATTTGCACAGAACAGAAAGGACATTCCCTTACCTGTATGGCGCAATAGCTCACAGTGACCAGTGTAAAGGATAAGAAAAAGAGGTAAGAATACTTTGGATGTTTCACATACGCTGTTGAAGGGGATTTTAATGGAAAAAAAATTCTCTTTGAAGCAACTGCCCAGCTCTGTAACTGCCTCCTAGTTCTGCGACTGCAACTATCAACATTGCCCTTCCAACTGATGTCACCCCGCTAACCAATCAAAGCCAAGCAGTCTGCTTTTGTCCTTCCCACTTACAAACCCTCTAAGAATGCTACCCACCACTGATCTGGGCCTAATTCCTGACTTTTGGCCTCCAGAACTGTGAAAGAACAAATTTCTTCTGTCTCAAGCCACCTATGTATGCCAATTTGCTGTAGCAGTCTCAGAAAACCAAGGCACAGGATGTTCCTCACTAGCTCTGTTCTGGGATCAAGGGCAGGGAAAGACAGACTGGGTCTGCATGGGGATTCCTGGCCCTGTGCAGAACTTCCGTAACACTTAATGTGGTCCAAAATAGTTGAGTTGAAAGAGGGTCTGGGTTGACAGTGTCCAAAAGGAACTAGACAAAAACTCCTTAAAACTGTGCTTCAAAAGACACGTAAAATGGGTGAAACAGATGGGTAACTTAAAGATAGAAACTCTAATAAAGAATCAAAAGGAAATATTAGAAATCAAAACACTACAACAAATGGAGAATAACTTATATAAAACAATTTATATACCTCAGCATATCATAGTCAAACTTCAGAAAATCAAAAGGCAAAAGAAAAATTCTGAGAAGAAGCTAGAGGAAAAGAAACACCATTTCTATAGAGGGACAAAGATACATCAGCCAAAATGACATACAAAGTTACAAAGAGATGAAAACACAAATGAGATATGGTAGGGTCTACTTAAATATATCTACTCACAGTTCCACAGAGAGTGAGTAAGAGGAAGCTTTGAAAACACCACCTGGAAGTTTTACATATGCACCAAAAAGACATGAGTCCTGTACCGGTCCATAAATCTCAGGCTGCAAGCCTCATAAATAAAAGAATGGAATGGTAAAAGACTTGAACTTGGGGTGTTGAGAAGAATGGCTATTATCACAAAAACATCCCACAGAGAGAAGCTGTTTGGAGCAGTGAGTAAAAAGTAAACATGTTGGTTAAACACATGGGATCACGCAACTGACCCCAGAGAGCAGGGTTGGGATGTCAGAACAGGCTGAGACCACAGAGGACAGTGGTGAGGAAGAGGCGTCAGAAAACATGCTGCTGACAGACACCAGCTTGGAAGTCATCCTGATTTTGTTTTCTGAATCATTGGATGTCAGCTGCTATCTTCACAGTTATCTGACCCAATTAGAAAAGATATGCGAGCATGCCTCATAAATGGAAAAGGGAGGTAAGTGACTGTCATCTCAGTTTATTTATTTACTATTTTTGTGGTACTGCGGACTGAGTTGAGGTCTTCTCATTGAGCTACATCCCAAGAGCTTTTCAAACCTTTTTTCACTTGATACAATATCTTGCTTAGTTGCCCAGGCTGCCTTTCAACTTGTGATTCCCATCTCATTCTCCCAAATAACTGATTACAAGTATACACCATCACACCTGGCTTAGGTTTATATTGACATGTTTTTTGGTAGCAGGGATTGAACTCAGAGCCTTCTGGCTACCACTAAGCCCATATCCCCATCCTTTTTTTTTTTTTTTTTACTTTGAGACAGGGTCTCTTTAAGTTGCCCAAGATGGCCTTGATTTCCTCATCCTCCAGCCTCAGCCTCCCAAGTAGCTAGACTACAGGCATGCACTATCATGTCTGACATAGTCAGGTGTAAGGGTCCTTCAGGCTGGTATATTCCAACACTGAGATAATTTTGATCCTTGGGATAAGAATAACTTTAGGATCAATAAATATGCTGTTACCCGGAAGCAGCCATTTTTTAGGTTATGTCCAAGGCAAAAAACGAATTACTGTTTTAGTTATTATTTACAAATAAATTACCTATGATTACTTTTTAGTGAAAAAAAAAAAAAAAAAAAGTACCATAGCTCAACACACAGTCTACACTTGGTTAATGGCGTCAATTTCGAGTTTCTTTTTTTTTTTTTTCCTTCCGGTACCAGGAATCGAACTCACGACCTTGCGCTTGCTAGGTAGGTGCTTTGCAGCTGAGCTAAATCCCCAGCCCCCAATATCGAGTTTCAACCTGATAAAGGTATATAAACTGATGGCCCAAGTCCCCTTACCTTGGGTTTGAGTCTCATTTAGAAACAGCTTCAGCTTTCTGCTACGAAGGCCAAACACCTTTGCTGCTTCATATAAAAGACCCTGGTGGGTGAGTCCATTCTGCCCCAGCGGGTTTTCTAGCAGGAGAGTGCCCACTGTGCCCACTAAGCACTCTACAGGAGAAAGGAGAGGCTGGATCAGTTCCTGAGCACTTCCCTCTGACAGAGACCCTGAGTGCAGACAGCTCTCACAGGCCGCGCAGGAGGCTTCAAGGGCCAGCCCTGCACACGGGAGCGCAGGATTACCAGCGGCAGGTACAGTGAACGAAGGCCTGGAGCAGTTCCCCAAAGCTGACAGGGTGGGAAAAGAAATACTGACTTGTATAAAGGTGGCAGTGTACACAGTCAGGTGAGGAACCTGAGGACTTTAAAACGCAAGGTATAAAATGAGGACCACAAACTATCGGGAAAAAATAGGTATCATGCTAGATGTGATTAAGGCACGAAGGTTAACAAGTTTTCAGGACATTTTCCAAGAAAAATGAGGTCAAATTACAAAAATGAAATGTTCTGAGGAATAATTGAACTATACGCATTTTGTTGTACTCTTTACTCAGGATCATTTCATTTCCTGGCCATGCCAGATGAATGAGGTTCTTCCTACGTAACATATTAAAAAAAAAAACCAAGCCAGTGGTACTCCAGCAAGCAGTATGAGAGCCTACACTGAGCTACGGTGCTGAAGCTGATGTGAAAAACACCTCCATCAGCTCACACACCGGAGGACCCAACACCTATACCTTGCAAACTGGGAAGAGGGGTGCACATACCTTGAGGCTCTGCATTGAGGAGCTGCAGGTTTATGTACTGACAGAGGAGAGGACTGGGACTGTGGGCTGGGGAGGGGGCTGGTCCTGCAGTAACGCAGAGTGTTCTTCCACTGAGACTCAGCAAGTCGGTTTGGTTTTGTATTTCTAAAAGTAACAATTGTGAAGTCATTCATTTTTTCTCACTTCATGATTAAACAGCATGTCTTTTTTTCACATGGAACTTTTCACATGAAACTTTTTCACATGAAAATTTTCATGAAAGTTTGTGTTTCATTTAATTTGTCAAAACACACTAACAGGTGTTAATGAAATTCACACAGTAGTATAAACCTTTGCTGTTTGCTTTTGATGTTAGGGACTGAAGGCTTTGCACATGCTAAGCATGGTACTACCTCTGAGCTACACCCCTAGTCCTGCAAACAGCAGGGTATCTTATTGGTGTAAAGTGAATGGCATAATACAGCATTCCTAATTCAAAAGATAAGGCATTTCTCCCATTAACATTCTCCCAATATAGTCTGGTTCCTCTTACAAGTTCTCCCTATGTCAGTATCTCAAACTTGGCCATACAGCCATTACTTAAAACAATAATTATAGCTGGCACGTAAGTATTAATTCTTTAAAATTATATTCCATTGCCTAGATGTCTAAGACTCAGACACTGTGTTTAATAAAATTAAAAATCAACAGGTCTCTGAATCCATGGCTAACAGGTAATACGGTGAGTCAGAGCCTTTGTTTGCCACCCAGTAAGTCCGGGGTTCTCAGCCACATCACACAGCGAGGAGGCAGAGACGCTGCAAGCAGGCTCTGCTGAGATGACACCAACAGAACTGAGAAAAACACAAAAGTTCTACGGGTATCAGACAAGGACCCTCACCATGGACCTCTGCCAAGAGGCACGGCCAGCCTCTCACCCCCCACATACCTGTTTCACCATGGAAGACGGCCAGCTCTGTATTTTTAACACCAAAAATGCTAGTAACAACACTCTTTAACTTCAGAAGGTCCAACCGATTATCGCCTTTTGGGTTTTCCAAAAGTAATACTCCACCTAGACAGCCATGAAAATAAAATCTCATTCAGAAATGGAAAAGCTGTGATTGTGTTCACAGCCGCTGCCACCACGCTGCCGCTGTTCTCTAACACCAGGGCTGCCTCTCACTGCCAGGCTCCAGGGGAAACAGCGGGCAAGTCAGGCAGTTGCCATACCGTGGCTCCCACAAAGATGACTACTTGCAAATCCACCTGGGGCAAAGTACTCAGAAAATAACTGGCCACAAAACCTTCTCCTAAGAGTGTGCCCTTGAGTGGAGGGGTAAAGAAATCTCATCCTTACATTGGGACATGGGACTCCATGAGATGAGAGATTATGAGAAGTCCAGTGAGCTTCTGATTCACAAACCCCTTTCCCGGTGTCTGGTGTGAGAAATTACTCAGAACTTAAAACAGATCTGTGCTTCCAGAGCCCAGCTCCTGGTGCTCTGCAGGAGGCCAGTGCGGCCTATCTGGCCGGCCTGCTTGAAGACACCAACCTGTGTGCCATCCACACAGCCGCACTATGCCTGCCCTGCAAGGTCCTGAGTTCAATTCCCAGTACCAAAATAAAGAAAGAAAGAGAACGCAAGTTAAAATGTTTCAATGAATAAGTTTCAGCAGTTCAAATTTGTAACAATTACAAACCTATTCAATTTTTCTGGACAATGCCAGCATTTTGATTTTTAAAAAACAAGCAAATTTCTTATGGACTGCAACTAAATAGCGTTTGTAGCATTTTTACCATACAACAGATTCCATCCATTCACTATACTTTTCGGAGTTGTCTTACCTGCTAGTACATGTTTTTAATGTCTCTCTGTGCTGTTCCTGTAAGTTTGCTATTAAAATATGTATATTTAAAAAAATGTAAAACCTAAAAGAAAATGTTACATCTTGGGAAAAGTCAGGTATTCAAGCCTTAATTTTTCCATTTTCAAATATACACTGGATGTCCCTTCAGTGTTTTAGTAATTTTCCGTAGATGTGCGAAAGGGGTCAAAGCACTGGGTAGTACAGGTACAGACACTCTAGAATGAATGTGATCACTATGAATATCAAAAATGTACCAACAAAATTAATTTTTGAAAAGTTGTAAAAGCAACAATGTGAGCTATAGTCTTAAAAAAATACTGGGCAGTCCATTCCCACTGTAAATACCTTTGAGTTTATAATTCTCATTTTTCATTTTGTGCAACTTGTAAACCTTGAGGCACAGAGTGGTTATAAATACTATCTGATCATTCCCTTTCAAAAAAGTATTCTCAAGTGGTTCCTAATAACTGATGTATCCAAGACATTCGATTCTATTACTTTATTGGTTTACTTCAAGTTGTTACTTTAAGGTAATTGATAGAATCACAGAAAGTTTTAGGAAACAGTAGGAGATACCAGGGGCTCTTTCCTCAGTTTCTCCCAGGGGTAACATGCTAACAAATGATACTATAAAATCTTACCCAGGACGTGAATATTTATATAATCCATCCATACTACTCACATTTCCTCAGGTTAACTTGTCTTTGACATGAGGTCCTCTTAAGTTACCCAAACTGGCCTAGAACTTGGCAATCTTCGGGTCTTCGCCACCCAAGCGGCCAGAAATAGAGGCATGCACCACCAAGCCTGGCTCAGGTTGTGTTTTATGTAATGGGGTGCGTGTTGTAGTTCTGTATAATTTTATGACCCATGTAGATCCTGTCTCTATCACCACCATTAAGACACAGAATAGTTCCGTTACCAGCATCTTTGTGTTGCCTTTTAATATATACTGATCATATAATAGTCTCCATTTCTATAATTTTATCATTTCAAAATGTATAGTTATATGGCATGAAATCCCTTAGGACCTTTTTTCTAGTCAGCGTCAGCCTTTAAAGATTCAGAAATGGTTGCTGCATTAATCAATAGTATTTCCTTTTTGTCCAAGTACTATCTTGCGGTATGGATGTATCATGTTTTACCTACTCAGAAACATCTGGGTCACCTCCAGTATTTTTGCTATTAAGATTAAAACTACTTTTTTTTTTTGGACTTTTTGAGACAGGGTCTCGCTATGCAGTTCCGCCTGGCCTTGAGCTCACTTTGTGGCCCATGCTGGCCTCGAACTCGCAGCAATCCTCCTGCCTTAGCCTCCCGAGGCATGGGATTAGAGTGCTGGGATTACAGGCATGGGCCATCACACCCCGGCCTAAAACTACCATCAACATTGACACTGAGGTTACGTGGTAAACATAAACAAGCCTTCTGTTCTTTGATATAAACATCCATGAGTGCAACTGCTGAGTCGTCATGAAAACAACACGGTTAGTTTAAGACACGGCCAAACTGTCTCCCAGAGTAAGCAGCTGCACCCTTTTACAGCTCCCAAACAGCGTGAGATCTAGTTTCTCTTACCAGCATTTAGTCATTCTGATAGCTGTGCAGTAAAACTCCACTGTGGCTTTAACTTATATTTCCCTACTAATGATGAGCATTTCTGCCATCTGCATATCCTTTTCCATAAATGCTTGTTCCTGTCTCCTGTTGTCTAGTTGGACTGTTTCGTCTGTTGAGTTTGGAGAGACCCTCACAGATTTTAGGTACATCCTCTGTTGGTTATGTTGTTTGTGAAGATCACCAAGTCTCTTGCTTACTTTCACTCCTTCCATAAGATCTTTTTAATTTTCATAAGTTCACCTTGTCAGTTTTTCCCTTTTATGGACAGTGCTCTTGGTGTTAACTTTTTGAAACTTTATGCCTAAATAAAAAACTCTTAAGATATTCCCACAAATAAAAGTAGGCTATCTACCTGGGTAATCTATCTGCTATAAACCTAGCTTTAATCTAACTATTCTTTTATAAAACTCTGACACTTACATTTTAATATCTGACATGTGATCAGCATTTTCAAATGAAAGAACATATGCTTCTGTCTCTACATTTACATATGCATGAGTTACAAATGTATGACACTTTTGCAGTTAGTTTGTAAAAGAGACCTGCCTCATTGCCTTTAAAAACAGTATAAATTAAGTATTCTCTCTGAATATATAAACTAGTCTCTGGTAAATAAAAGTGTTGGTTTAATAAATAGATACGCTTTCAAAAGTTACCATTACATATAATGCAGACACACAACCTTTAAATTCCACCTGGGTTTGCTAGCCCAGTCAGTGTATGTTATCTCAGTGGGGTACGGAAGATGACAGAATTATGAGCTCAACCCCAGAGCAACCCTGCAAGTGAAGTGTGGAGCCCATTACTTCCCGTGTACCAAGCCCAGCAGCGAAACAAAAGTGGTCACTGTTTAACCTCTGAAACACGAACGGCCAGAGTAAGCTTTTCCACTTTTGGCTTATTACAGAAGACGTATTTGGGGATGTTAGCAAACGTCCTTGATCATCATCCTGAAGGTTATTTCTGCTTGACAGAGAGTCTGGATATACTATTTTTCCTTTAGCACTTGCTGTCCTTTTACTTTGTAGTTTCTGATGAGAAATCCAGTATTCTGTACATTTAGTTGTTTCTTTCTTACTGCTTTCAAGATATTTTCTTGGTTTTTATTTTCTAGAAGTGTGACTCTAATGTGTTCTGAAGTGAGTTTTGCTTTATCCGGTTTGGCTTTCAGTTGGTGGACCCATCTGGCTACGGTTACAAAATGGCCACAGACTGCGTAGTTTATAAACAGTAGAAATTTCTCTCAGTTTCGTATTCTGACGAGTCCCGGGTGAAGATGCCATCAGATTTGGTGTCTGCTGAGGGCCCATTTCCTAGCTTGTAGGCTGCACACCCTGCTGTACCTTCATATGGTGGAAGGGGTGACTGGCTCTCTGGAATGTCTTTTATAATGGCATAAATTTTACTTGTGAGGGCTCGACCTTCATACCCCAATCACCTCTGAGAGGGCCTACCACCTACCACTATCACCATGAGGGCTAAAATGGCAATGTATAAATTTGGAGTGGAGGCAGGGAGACAAACATTCAGGCCATGGCAATCAGCTTATTGAATCTGTAGGGTTATATGTTCTGACAATTTTAGGAGGTATTTACCATTATTTCCTTGAGTAACTTTTCAATACTATCCTCTTCTTCCAACTCTAGTGGCAAGTATGTTAGTGTTTTGTTGTATGACCCACAGACTCTTAATATTCCTATTTACAACTCTGCTGTTCACAATAGGTAATTTTTATCTTGTGGCTCAGATTCTTTCCGTTTTCTTCTCTGCTGCTGCTCAGCTCATCCAGAGTTTTTAGAATTTTAGTTACACTTTTCAATTCCAAAATTTGTTTAATTTTTTTTTAAAAGACAAGGTTTTGCTGTATACTTCAGGCTGGCCTTGAACTCACAGCAATCATCCTGCCTCAGCCTCCCAAGTGCTGGGATTACAGGTGTGTGCCACAGCACCAAGCTTGTTTGATTCTTCTTTATAGCTTCTATTTCTTTTCTGAGGCTTTGCCTTTTTCACTGGTTTTGTTACTGCTTCCTGACACATTTACTATGTTTGCTGTAAATTCTGTCAGATAATTTTAATATGTCCTTTATCATGGTATTTGCATCTATTGATTATCCTTTTTCACATTAGTGGGAGAAAGGGAGGCTCGACCTAGTTGCTGTCAGGTGGCAAGTCCAGGTTCCCTACCAGCCTGCATTTATTCTTTTTTTATTCTGGCTTTTGGAGACATGGTCTCGCTATGCACTTCAGGCTGGCCTTGAGCTCACTTTGTAGCCCAGGCTGGTCTCAAACTCGCAACAATCCTCTTGCCTCAGCCGCCTGTGTGCTGGGATTACAGGGGTGCACCACCATGCCCGGCTCTCAGCCTACATTTAAAAAAAGGTCAAGACCTCTTGGTCCTGCTGGAGGTGGCAGGGCAGTTCTCACTCCTCTTTAGGCCACCATCAATAGCTCCCTGGCCAGGCAACGTAGTACTTCTACATTGTTCCTCATGTGGCCTTTACGGACACCTCAGTGGTATATGGCCTCGCAACTGGCATATAGTCGTGAGGGGGAGGATGCTTCATCATTGCCATCAGAATGGAAGTGCAAGGTGTCCATGTAGCCAAGGTTCATTACCATTTCTCTAGGACGAGACTCCTACCTTCCTACTCAATCTTCTCTGAGAACACCACACAGGTGGTGGAGTCTGAGGAGCCTAAGCTGGGCAACAGTTGAACAGTTGGCTTTCTACATGGCCGTTGCTCACATGGGAGATGGTGGGGCCATAGTTTTTTCTATGGCATATGATAGCAGTAGACCAATCACTGTGTAATTTATTTCTTTTTGGGGTTAGAAATATATATAGCTCACTGGTGGAATACCTGCCTAGCATGAGAAAGACCATAGGTTCAATTCCCAGCACTGGGAAAAAAAAAAAAAAGAATTTGCCTTGCTAGGTTTTTCTGGTCCTTTGTCTAGTAAGAGCAGGATTTTGTTGGGGCTTCTTTCGTCTTTGTTGGGCTTCTGTTGGCATTTCCAGATTGGTAGCTTCAATTCCAGGTTGGGATATATAAGGCATAAAATTAAAGTCCAGGGAACTCAACACTGCTAAGTAGCTTGGTTTCAAGGTTCCCAACTGGTCTGTTTTTTTCTCTCTACCTTGCAGAGTTTTCTCATGTTTGTTTTTGTATTTATACAGGGCACTTACATACACTCAGTGGAGAAAAGGGAAGCTTCTCTACTCTTAACTTCCTCCAAGTGCACATCCCTCATTTACTTTAATGGGTTCATTTTGATGACAATTAAAAAGAAAGCTATCCAGTTTTATCATTGTTTGTGAAAGGAAGGCTTTCCAGAAGTGTAAAGAACACCACACAAGCTATGGAATTCATTTACTCTTACCTTGCTCCCTGCCATTTGCACAGATGTTAAGATTGACATATGCACAAGCAGGACCAGGAGTGGAGAAACCTTTGGTGAACGTAATTTCCAGGTCAGACCCCTTTAACTGAGGGAAGGAAAACATTAGCTTTAGCATCCAAGTGCAGTGTGCCATGCCATCAAGTAACACAGACTACTTCGTAAGAGCAAAAGCTCTTAACGTAAAGCATTACCGTTTACGCCCTATTTCCTCTTCTTTCCTTGTTCTCTTAAAAATATACATTTTCTGATTATACAATATGCTAATTTTAAAAAGTAATATGCAAAATAGAAAAGTAAGCTACAATGAATTATAACCTACTGAAAGGCAGCCCTTTTTAGCAATTCCCTGTCTTTTTGATTCAGATAAAGTAGAAATAAGACAAGAACATGACTGAATCAATCACTAAGATACATTATGTCACAAATGACCTAATTGTGAGTTATGGGCCAGTATACTCCATGCCTTGGTATCGGGCCAGTACAGTATATCTAAAATTCCTAGACATAACAAGAAATGCAACTGTGATCTTCTATGCAACCTACTCTGATAAAAGTTATATGCCCTTCAAGCTTGCTGTTTACTATTAACAATAATTACCAAAGTCCACAATCTCCACTTTCCTAGATTCAGACGAGAGAGGCCCACACAACCATTCATCTCCTGGCAGTTTTCACATGCTCTCCTAGCTGTTCCCCAGGAGAACTGCCCTGAGAGCATGTCAGCCTTCTCTCCTTTATTTCTTCCAGATTCCTCTCCCAACACCACCCAGTGCAGTACTGCAGGGCTAAGCATTCTGCCCTCTCTCCTGAGGGCCAGAATATCGAGATGCAACTATGTGAGCTTAAAAAACCCAGCCTGAAATCATTTAGTAGTCCAGCAGATCTCAGGACTTACCTGCATTTTCTCTTCAATAAGGATTTCTTCTGATAGAGAAACTGGATATGGTTTCAAGGGAGCCTTTATGGTGGCACATATGAACTCTGTGTGGCTTTCAATAACATTATTCAGATACCTTTCTTCAGACGTTGCATTATAATACACTGTTATTTCATCAGTGGGAACCAGATTACACTGAACGCACATATAGAGAAATATGAAAAGGGAAGCACATTTGTTAGGTACTGCTCAGTAAGGACATGCCACGTAGAAGAACCCAATAACTCAATGAATGTAAACACTATTAGCCATAACATGAGTTAAGATTAATAATATCAAATTAGAAGGGGAGAGAAGAAGGGCTCCTTTTCTAAAAAAAGAAACAAGCTGTAGTATGTGCATGTACCCATTCCCAAAGGTAACTGTAAACTACATGTACTGTAAGCATTATGAATAAAATTTTAATAATCTAAAAAAGTAAATGCTCAAGTACAAATCATTAAAAAAACAAAAAGGACTGGGGATCCCAGCTCAGTTGTTATGGAAAGGCATGTCTACCCATCTGCCAGGGAGATCTATAAGACCAAATGCACTGCCCATGTTTGCATAGGAAGGGCACATGTCTTTCCTAAGCACAATCAAGCTCTCATGAATGCTGAAACAAAGGAATGACCTAGAATCCACTTAGAAAGCTCTAAGTTGGGACAGAGCACACAAGTACCTTGTTCACCCTTAGGAGCCGCCTCCTCAGACTCTGGGCCACAGATCTCGGATACTTGGCCTGGGAAGGAACATGGGTAGGAAGTCTCCTTACTGTGAAAGCCTCCTCAGACTAAGGGCTTCCTGACCCTCTCACCTGTGCTCTGCAGGCAATGGGTTCAGTGTGCCGTCCTCAGCTCCCCAATGAGGAAAAACCACCCCAATCTGTTCAGACGCAAAAAACTCTCCCTTGAGCTAGGAGCCCTCCCACCCTGACCACACTGCCACCCCTGGTTACCTTATGCCCCAGTGAGAGAACGAACTATCCAGTGATGATCTTGTGGAACTAGAGGGAACCCAAAAAAGATGGAACAGTGCATAGGTTGCCTGAAAGCTCTTAAGAGAAACAAAGAGCAGGGTTGGGGAGTTAGCTCAGTGGCACAGCACCTGCCTGGAAAGTGCGAGGTTCTGAGTTTGATGCCCAGTACCAGAGAGAGAGAGAGAGAGAGAGAGAGAGAGAGAGAGAGAGAGAGAGAGAGAGAGAGTGAAATCCAGTTTGGGACTGTGCAAGTAGAAAGGCCAACGGCCTGTGATCACTGCAGAGCACAATCTGGATGACAATGCAATGGGGACCGAAACGGATCACTATGACGAATATCATCTGCCTCTACTGTCCTCCCTAACAACTGAGACAAAACACACAAATACTGAGCTGTGTGGCTTGCTCTTAAGCTCACACACTGACCTTCTTGCGAAGTTTCTGGATGCGATTGATGACCTCCCGAGCCATTCCTTCATCCAACATTGACTGGTCAGGGGTGATGTCTAAGAGAACCAAAGCCTGTAGAAGGAGATACACATGAGGACACTCAAACACTGGCTCTGAAGGAACAACACTGCCTTCAAACCCAGCAAAATGCTGTGTAAAACTAAGTTCTGTCAAGTCTATAATGTAACACTATGTATTCACTTTCCTGAGTGAGGAAATACATTTAACTTAGTTTCTGGATCACTGAGGTACTTCTTTGTAACCAGTTATCCTCCATCTCCAGAGAAGACTCGGCCTGTTCTTGGTAGGGTGCTTTTCACAGGAGCCCGAAGACACCCTTTTCATGCACCCTCTCATGCCTCTCTTTGGCCATCTAATAAACACTATCAACTCTTCTAATAATTAAGACCAATAATCATAACACTCCAGCAGCAGCAAACTTTCCATACCACAAGAGCAGACCAAAGGTTTCAAAACAGTCAACTCTTAAGGAATTTTCTTGCTCTAAGATCTCTTCTGATCTTTTAAATTGTCAGTATGATCAAGACACAAATTCTAGAATGGGCCCAATATTTTAAATACAATTTAAACTCATCTTTTTTGTTCACCTTATTAACTATTCCATCTCATCTGAACGTTGATGATTGTAATGGATAGTAACATCATTACCTCTATTACAGAGCACTTTATAGAGTAAAACATACTGTACCAGGTCATCACATACTAGGCATTATCCCCATTTTCTTTTGAGGAAACTTGACTGGAGAAGTTAGCCAACTTGCCTCACTTCATAAAGACGCAAGAGGTACAGTGCAAATGCATGACAAGGCCAAAATTCCACGTGGGGATGGGAAGAGGGGTGCACCATAGCTTACAACACGTGAGCCATGTCAAGAAATTCAAATGCATCACAAGACCACACTTTTTTTTTTGCCTTTTGAGGCAGGGTTTCCCTATGCAGTTCAGGCTGGTTTGTAGCCCAGGAGGGTCTCGAACTCACAACGATCCTCTCACCTCAGCGTCCCGAGTGCTGGGATGATAGGCATACGCCACCACATCTGACTAAGGTGACATTTTAAGAGCAAACATTCAGGCTCCAGACATGCACTTGTCAACAGGAAGGACTAGACACTAACTGTAAATCTCTTCCCTGCCTACCTTCGTACGTCTCCTTGAATCCTTACCACTACTCCTGGGGAAGTCTGTAGATATCTAACGATGCAAAGGGCCCCTTGTTTTACCAAGATACTGTTCCACAACCGCCTATATATGACAGGTTAAGTACACTGGGACTCCAACAATGTCCCTCATTCCACATGGGAGATCTTCCTGCTTGGAGAAGTCTGGTCAGGAACCAGAAAGAGATCTCTGTTTCATCCTGACAAAAATACTGACCTCAGAATCCAAAACAGCTTGTACCTTCCCTTTACAGAGCCTCGGCCATCACCTCACACCCACCCCAACTTAGAGGCAGGGGTTTCCCTGGACTTATTTCTACCCAATAACTTACCAGACATAATATTACGACTCAGCTTGCTTTCCTGTGCCCATGACTGATCTGTTTCTAGCAGGGTTTATTTTTGTGAGCTCAACATTTAGGACCACCAGTTATAGTTTGAAAAAGAAAATGACAGAATGTTCCTTTATACATGTAGTAAAAAATGTATGGGTTAGGTCTGTCATTGAGAAGTTTAATAAAGACAATCTGAAATGTGTAACTGGTTTATTTTACCTTGTGATAAAGCTGTCAATACACTTTAGAAAGGCATAGGTAAAATACTTTATGCTCTCAACTCTCTGTAAGAACCTTTTACGAGACAGATCAATACCTGAGCGTCTGAATGTGCTTCAAACTGTGCAGTAGCATCTGTGGTCTGGTCAAAGGTGTACATGAGGCGGATGTCTTCTTCACGCAGCTCGTGGCCTTCCACAACAATGCTCCCTGTGGGAGAAACGGACTCCGTCAGTCCTCCAGATGAGTGTGCTCTGCATTGCGCCCCTTTGGATGAAAATCTCATAGCAGCACAGCTGCGGAAACTACAAGATATTTCCCCGACTCCTATGACAACTGAATACAAAGAGTTGAGCCGGGTTGGTGGCGCACACCTGCAATCCCAGCACTCGGGAGGCTGAGGCAGTAGGATCATTGTGAGTTCGAGACCAGCCTGGGCAACAAAGTGAGCTCAAGACCAGCCTGAACTGCGTAGCGAGATCCTGTCTCAGAAAGAAAACAAAAGAATACAAGGAGTTGAAAGCTTTCTTTAGATTATACCAGGCTGCTTTGATGACAGTTAAGTCACCACTAGTGCCTCCCATTTTATGTAATACTCAGTTCAAAGTCATGCCAAAGCTAAGTGAAGCACTGAGAGCAAAAGAGTCCTCATTTAAACATGGCATCGTAAAAAATGAAAATTCGCTTTTTAGAGTAAAATTGGCTTTGGGCCACCACTCGCCGCCTGCCGGGTGTGGCAGGAGTAAAATGAGACAGAGTGCAGAAACGGGCATCATGGCCAGCTCAGGCAGGCGGAAGAGGGTGCCAATGGCTGCTGGTGCACTCCACACTCCGAGGGAAGCCCACAGTGTCCCTTGTGACTTCTCACGTTCAAGCAATAGGCTGTCATTTTTACTTCAGGTGCCTATGGTCAGAAATCTTTCCACCAATACAGGAAAGTCCATTCAAAAACTACAGTTTAGAAAATTCAGGCTTTCACTTTCAAGTAAGATTTACTTCAGGGATTTTTGATGTATGGCTACCTGGTCAAAAACCCTAGATTTCTGACATGATGGCTGACCGAACATCTACCTAATTCAAATTCTGAGTTGAGTTGCAAACAGGTGACTCAAGGTTCAGCTGCTAAACTTCCACGTTGTATTATTCCTATCTAAAAGTCTAGGGAATCTTAGGGATATCCTTCCCAATTTCTATAAGCACTCGTCTGATTCCTGTGTTCCTCAACTGCTCTGCTCATGACTCCACATTAGGGTTTTGAACTCTGGAGGGAGCCCTAATAACAAACACCTTGTGGCTAAGGTAGCTGCAGGATGTCTAATATTACTATAGTCATGGCAGAGCTGCAAATTGCAGCACACCCCAAAACACCCTCTGAAGGGGTGTGGGAAGGGTTGAGGCTGCCTTCCTAACGCAGTAAGCAGGGTCAGGTCCCCTATTTCAGGCTCTTCCTTACCATACTCCTTTCTCTATAGCACTTATCAAAACCGTAATTCTTTCCATGAATCCTCAAATGTCAGTCAGCAGCATGAGAATAATGACGACATCTGTCTTACCCAAGTACATACTGAGCTTTTAAGATTATAAAAAGTATTTGATGAAGGAATGAATTCAGCTTTGCTCATATGAGAGACAAGATATGGGCTTTAGACATTGTAGAAAAACTGTGACAAGTTTTACCCATTTCTTTAGACACTGTAGAAAAACTGTGACAAGTTCTACCCATTTCTCCTTAGCGAGATGTTTTAAACGTCTATGCTAACTTTCTATCCTCAAAAAACACTGCAATGCCTTGTTTTGAATATCTTCCATGCTCACTCTAACACCTCCAAAAGTCACTCTTTTTCTTCCAAAAAGCACTAACCGGATGTTTTGGGGAACAGTATTCCCTCCTCATGAAGCCCTGAGATTCTGTTCTCTCTCAGTAGGAACACAAAGCACCCAGGCCCACATCAGCACTTGTACAATGCAATGGTAACCTAACTAACCTTTCATCTGATTGATTTCTATTTAGCTGTCAAGCCCAGAAGAATCAACTCTACAGGGCTGGGGATTTAGCTCATAGGCACAGTGCCTGCCCAGCAAGTGCAAGGTCGTGAGTTCGATTTCTGGTACCAAAAGAAAAAAAAAAAAGAATCAACTCTACAAAATACTCACCTTACAAAAATATTCATTTCAATACTAATGACAGTATAAAAAGGCTGGAAATAAAAGCACTAACAATACAGACTAAAAATTATCCAACTACTGAAACAGCATTTCTGAGGATGAATACATAGACTATTTATAACATGAAGTGAAAACACAAAATAAAGAACCCCAAGACACATAAAATACAAAAATATAAAAAGGTGAAAAAAAAACCCTTAAAATTCAAGTGAGCTCCTTGCTCCATAGCTGGAGCAACAGACGCTGGCATCTTTACTCTGCATCTGCCCATACAAGGATGCACATGAACAGCAGCCTGGAGGCAGCACCTATGTGACGGTGGCTGTGTGGAGGGCTAGGGGTCAGCTTACTTTCTAAACTATCACATTTACAGTTATTTTTGTGAACAGAAAACAGTTTTTACTAAACAGAAGGGATATGACGGTAAAAGTCAAACCAGATCCTAAATAGGAAACATCTCTATTGACTTAACTCTTAAGTTAAGGACAGGAGGGGCACCCGTGTGGGACAGACACCCACCACTCTTCTGGAACTGTTCCAGCTCCTCACTGCTCAGCTGCTTGATGGCCATCATCACTGCTTTAAAGGCTCCTTTCAGGCGCTTTCCCAGGACCATGTGATCTGGTTCTGCCCTTAGCCGAATGCCATACTTGTTTTTATCTGTAGACAGTGTAACTTTACGAACATTCAATTCCTATGGTTAGTAAGGAAGAGAAAACAAAAATTTGTGCAATGAAAACGTATGTCCACACAAAAACATATGCACATAAATGTCTACAGCACCACTATTCAAAGTAGCCAAAGAGTAAAAACAGCCCCAAACTCCATCAACTGTGAATGCAACAACAAAACATAAATCTGCACTATGGAGTTTTATTTAGCAATCCAGAGGAATGAAGCACTAACATATGCTACAACATGAACGAACATTATGCTGAGTGAAATAAACCAGACACAAAGGATCACAAATGACATGCTTCCACGTATACGAAATGTCACTAGAGGCAAGCCAAAGGCAGAAGGCAGATTTCACGGTTGCCAGAGAATGGCCAGATCAAGGAGGAAAGGGTGTGTAAAGGACAATGGATACTTTTAAGAAGATGAAACTGTTCTAAATGTGTGTTGATGGCTACAAAACTTCATAAATATTCCTGAAAGCCCCTGAGATGCATGGGGGGGGGCTTTCTGTTAAGGTTAATCGAGACAATTAATCATAAGGCAAAGTTTTCCACAATGACAAATATAAACTCATCTCTCAAGAGTTAAGTCACAAACTCAATTTCAGAGCACAAGGATTAACTGTGAGATAACCAGAAGACTCAGTTAACCACACCATTTTATGCCTCTCTTAAGTTCCAGATTAGCACTGCAGCAGGGGATGTCCATGGTACAGCAGGAGATAGGAAAACCAGATACCATGACATGACAGATGGGGCAAATAATGGGAATATCCAGTTCGGCCACTGTATTCAGCTGCATTGATCTTAGACTTCTAATCAAGATTATTTTTAAGGCCAGGCGTGGTGGCGCATGCCTGTAATCCCAGCACTTGGGAGGCTGAGGCAGGAGGATTGCTGTGAGTTCGAGGCCAGCCTGGGCTACAAAGTGAGCTCAAGGCCAGCCTGAACTGCATAGCGAGACCCTGTCTCAAAAAAAAAGACAAAAAAAAAAGATTTGCTTTAATATTTTATTTTTATGACTACCAACATTAATTTCACAATTTAAATCTAACATCTTGTCTTTTAATATTTATCTGGAATTCTCAAGCAGTTCAAAGCCAAATACAGAAATTACTATTTTCTGTGGCAATGCATTTAAATATTGCTTGCAAAAAGAAGAGAAATTAAAAAACAAACATTACAATAGACCAGGGCAGTAACGGCGAACCTTTTAGGCATTCAATGATACAAGAGCCCACTGTGGCTGGTGTGCCGTATGCTTGCCTCCTCTGAACTACAGGTATAGCTCAGCTGTACAGCATCTACCTAGAATGCTAGGTACTCAATCACCAAGCCACACCACCAGTCCTATATTTGCTTTTCATACAGCTTTGTTCTTTTGCAGTTATTTTTATGAATATTCATAATATTCATGGAAGAAAGCTGTTTGAGAAAATTGATATTGTAGTTTAAGTTTCTGACCCCCAAATTCCATTTTTAAAATGTACCCAACATCTATCCACTGCACTATGCACACTGATGTACATACATCTTTTGTGTAAAAAGAAACCTAAACTTCTAACAGGAGAGAAATTAATTAAATTACAAAGCAAAGAAACAAACATTATATAGTTATTAAAAGTATATACTAAAGCTGGGCATGGATATAATCCCAGCACTCCAGCAGGCTGAGGCAGAAGGACTGCAAGTTCAAATCCAGCCTGGGCAATTCACATTTTGTAAGACTGTCTTAAAAAAAAAAAAAAAAAAAAGGCTAGGAATGTAGCTCAGTGTGAGGGGCTGGGGTCAATCCACAGGTCTATTAAAAAGGAAAGAACAATATACTAAAATACAAAGTTAAAGATTATATATATTATACTAATATGCAAAAATATAAAAGCATGTGTATACGTGGGTATGTGCACACACATACATGTGTATATGTGTAATATCCCCCGAGCATCCTGCAGAACGGAAGTGAGACTCAGGAGAGAACAGCCCATCTTTTACTGGGCATATGCTGTGCTAGCACTTCAACCATTTCAACCAGTGTTCTCTTGCTGCCTGCACTGTTGGCTGGAAGAAAGGTTTTGTGTTAATTATAAAGAAGCACTTTGGAGGAAAGTATCAAAGGTAAGTTCATTGATCCTGAAATACTCTTAAAAGAATTATGATACTATGAAAAAATATGATACCAAGTAAAGTGCAAAATTTCATGATGTTTGTGTTTGTTATGTATATATTGATTTACAAAAGAGAAACAACTTCATTGAGGAATATTCATAAAGGTAACCTGCTCAAATAAAACATCCACCCAGACACAGACAAATTATCTACCTTACCTCAAGGATATACTTCTCCAAGGACCTGATATCATTCAGAGCTTCGGGATCTTGATGGATAACCACAATTTCTTTCAAAGGATACTAGGAGGAAATAGAAGATGAAAGTTCAGTAAGTAGCCATTCCTTTAAGTGGCAGAAAAGTGAAATACTGAATGTTTTTCCAAATCTTAAACTCCAGACTAAGTAGCCTAAACTAATGCCAACTCATTCATACCCTTACTATAGAAAAGAAAAATACATTATGGCACTGTTGGAAGCTTTCTATGTAAGAAAGCTTACCCCAAACATAATTATTTAGGTCTGCATGGCAGATAAAATCCAAATAAAGTATCAAACCTTTATCGGAATAGTTTTTCGGTCTCGGATCACTCGCCCAAGTTCAATGACGGACTGCATCCTAGACACTGCATTCTCAGTTTTCTTGTCAATCAAGTCCTCTCTGATCGGCAGAGCAAAAAATAAGAGAAAGAAGATTTAAAAGAGGGAAAAGTAGGCTTAAGTAAGGAAGATGCTTAGGCAAAGGAGGGATGGGATGGCTAAGCTTCCAGGGCCGGTACCTGGGGAAGGATAACCTGGGCCTTCCTGGGGGTGGTGAATGGGCCACACAGCTGCTCAGAAGTCCCTAAGGGGACGTGTCCACAATTCTACAGAGGGGTTCTATATCCAGCATCCTTCCTGTGCCTATCAAAGTACAGCCCATCCTGCAACTTGATAAGCAGATCACATGAGCTTAGATGGGAAGTAGGCACAGAGGGGCTAGCACAGGGATGGGCAGGCTGTCTCCACTCCTTCCCTGGGAGGTTGGCCTCCACATGCTCTGGCAATATCCTTTCCCGTGGCCTAAGTGAGGCTTATTTGATTCCTACCGAACACGAGGCAGCATGAGGTAGTGGATGCTGAGCGTATCCTTGTCCTGGACAGAAGAGGGATCAATCAGCGTCTTTAGATTCTGGTACATCAATTCAGTGAGAAAGGGTGTGTAAGGGGCCTGTATGAGGACACAGGACATCATGTCATGTATAGCCATCATCTGCACTACTTCATTATGCTGAGAAAGAGCACTGAGCTTTTTTGATGATGACACATAGACACAGGCATGAGGTTACAGACATGCCTTCTGAAAGAAGTAACCTCACTGTGAAGCACAATGCTAGGGCTATAACCAGCGGGACCCAAAATATCCCTAGATCCCGGGAGGGTATCTGAGAAAACAGAAGCCCGTGACCAAGCAACAACCACGCCAATAGGCAGAAGACTAACTGTCCCAAACCTTAGAAACCTTAAAACTGGGGCAAACTCCACCTGCTTCACTGGATGCAGGTAGATGAGGCTGGTATGGCAGGCAGCAGGTTCAAGATGAGGTAGAAGGCAGAGCATCCTCTTATGAATGTCACAAGACAAACAGAAGGCTTGCAACACTATACAGAAACAGCAGAACAGGACACAAGGAACTACAGCTGGAGCCTTCTTACTTGAATCCCATTTAACTTATATTTTAACTGGCAAGAACGTGCTGCATTTGCACATTTTTCTCTCAATACGAAGTTGAGAGTGTTGTTTGTGACATATTTGTTCAGTCAGACAGGAGTCCAAGAACCTCCTGGTTACAGTTCTGAGAACTCACATTAAGACAAGGTGTGTCTTAGCTCCAACTACCAATCCTTATATAGATGTAAGGATGCTGACCTCTACTGTACCACCAGTGGCCACAAGAACCTAGGGTTCTTAGCCCTTACTCAATACATGTAAGCTGGCAGGTTTCTGAAGAGGATCTGGACAGATGAGCCGTTTTAACTGGAAATGCAAGGCAGTCTTTTCTCCATGGAACAGACACAAGTGGAGGAAGCTGCAGCGCTGGCACCACCTGAAGCCTGAGAAGCGCCGAGCATCTTACCATCAGTCTGCACAGAGAAAGCAGGACACTGAATAAGGTCTCCAGGGCCATAACACAATCTTCCTTCCCATTTTCACCCTAACGAATAACAAAGAAACAATAGTACACTAGTAAAAATGGGTGTTTCATAAAAAGTAAAAAATTAAAAAGAGGAAATACACATAGCACACGGACAGGCCAAAGGGAAATGCCACAACACGGGGGCCTAGGGCCATGGCATCATGGTGCCTGCAAGGAGCGGCAGTGAGGGAAGTCAGGACAGTGTAAGTATCCACCATCCCCTAGCCTTGTTCCTGGGAGGCCAGGTAGATGTGAAATGGCTCAGGAAGTGGGAGATGAAGATGGACTACGTTCCTGACGACAGAAGGTAGAATGCATTTACATGCAAACAGAAACTGGTGCTAACTGAAAATTCTAAACTACCTTTAAGTAAGATTTCTTTTTTTTTGCAGTACTGGGCATCGAACTCACGACCTTGCACTTGCCAGGCAGGCGCTTATGCCACTGAGCTATATCCCCAGCCTCTAAAGTAAGATTACATACTTAAACTACATACTAAGTGCTTTTCCTCCCTGTGGTCAGACTTGGGATTGAATTCAAAGCCTTTGTACTGAACTACACCCCCATCCCTTTTTTAAAAAGTTTTATTTTGAGAAAGACCCTCACTAAACTGCTCAGGCTGGGCTTGAACTTGAGATAAGCCTGCCTCAGCATCCCCGAGTGCTGGAATTATAAGCATATATACCATTACACCTAGCTTACACTATGTTTTTGAAAGTAATCATTGTAGGAAAAATATAATTAAAAAAGAAAACCTAGGGCTGGTAATATATCTCAGCAGCACAGTGCCTGCCTGGCAAGCATGAGATCTTGAGTTCATTTCCTAGTACCAAAAATAAATAAATAAATTATATTAAATTAAATAAATAAAAATAAAAGAGAATCTAACCATAATTAAGTTGCTCAAAAAACACAAGAAAACATTTTGACATCGTGATCTTCTAGATAGAGTGCAAGTGTGTATAAATATGTTTATATTTAAATCAATATTACATTACACTTATGTTACAGATTTTTATCACTAACAGATTTTAAAAGAACTGCTAGGTGGTGGGAGCCTCTACCTGATCTGCACTGACAGTACAATCACCTGCTGAGCTGTCCTTCTGTAATTTCCATATATGGTGTAAGTCCTGGGACTGGGGTCCATGCTTTGCTCACTCGGAACCCCAACAGCTAAGGATGACTTCTGACCCCAGCCAACATTGATAACCACATGCCTGTGTGTGGGAGGAGCGAGGAGGTGGCACTCTCATCAGCCCAACCTCTGAGGAGAGCGGTAGAAATCTAAGAGGTCTGCTCGGTTTCACCCTGCATGCGCAGGGACATTTGCACTTTAACACACCGTGTCCGTAGTAACGTCGTGAAAATATGCAAGAATGACTTTTAGAACTTGCAGGTCTATCAATACAGTCAATATGTAATGGCAAAGGGAAAAACAAGGCAGTTTCAAAAGCTGAAAGCTGACGGTGTTCTTCCTTTTAGTGCGTCTCTTCTTCAACTCTCAAACTTCACATTATATTGCTTTTCGCACTGGCACTTACCTTTAATCTTCTCCGATTCATTCTGACATACCAATTGGTCAGAACATCTACAAACTTGACCAGGCGAGGCACCACTGTATAAAGCCTGTAAGCTAAAACAAAAAGAAGCAGAAGCAGTCAGACAGCCTATGCCAGGCCTGGGATGGGAGGAGGCTGGACACAAGGAGGAACACGCAGCTCCGTTCACTTCTCACTCTAAGAAGACCAGAAGAGTTACAACGCAGCAATTATAAATGGCTCATTTATTGAGGATGCAATACACAGTGGGCAGGTGTTTAGAGGTACATGCAAAACCACCACGAGCTACTTGCAAGCCTGTATTGATCAAACAAACCAACCAAAAAACAAAAACAAACAAAAGAACAACCTATATTGGACTCAGACCTCAGAAAGGGAAGTATGGATCTGGTATCACAACAGTGCCAACAAGGCCCAGCTTCTTTCCGTGGTGCTACTGCACACCTCCTTAAAACACTGAAAGCACAAAGCTCAATTGATGCTAAAGGTACAGCATGGGCCATCACTTCTCTGCCACCAGCAGTTCTGCCCCACCAAAGACATTTGGCATTGCCCAGAGAGACATTTTTTCCTCTCAATTTGTGGAGTATGCCTGGGGTCCTGCTAGCAACCAGCAGGGAAAGCCAGGCATACTATTCAACAACTCAATGCACACACAACCCCCATCAAAAAGGACCCAGTCCAAACTGTAGACTGTGCAGGTGTAAAGATAATCTGGCAAAGGATATGAATAAAATAGAACAAGTTTTCTAAAGGTTAAAAGAGTCAAGGAAAGAAAGATAAAGATAGGAGAAAGAGAGATCTCTTGAAGAATTAGAACGGACTACTGAGGAACTCATGAGGCACTGAGCCAATCTTCTCTGAGGCAAGTCTGATTTTATGGATCCTCATTCACCTTGCCTTTAACTGAGACTGTAGCCTAACACCAAAAATTATAAACAAGCATAATTCATATTAATGTGTTCAGGTCTCACCTCTTACACAGGAAATGAAGCCCATACTCAACGAGCATGCAATACAGAGGGTAGGGGCAACTACTGCTGAGGCCACTAACAGTAAGTAACTCTCAAAGGGTGTCACCACCACTCTGAGAAGCAGGTCCTCTCTTAGTCACCTTGCTGCTGAGGATCGGGGGCACACAGGGGCCAGGCAAGCAAAGCTGGGACCAGAACTGAGTAGCATGGGTCATGAGTTGGTCTCTGTAAATGTCTAGCCTCCTGCACATGACCTTCACCATGTGCTACTGATCTCCAGCTCCTAGGCAGATCAGGCTCTGGAGGGTGTGCAGACTCTCCAGACCCAACTTCATGGGAAATCGAGGCAGCTGGTACCAAAGGATGACAGGGTCTGAGGCAACAATGTCTATGTTTCCCACCCACATGCAAGAAAACTCTTGAGTATCCAAGAAGAATGTGGAGAACTCCTACTGAGCCATTCCCTTCACAGGTAGTCAGCCTCAGATTCATCCCGGCATGATCCTATTGCATGTCTACGGGGGTGGACATGTCAGGTGACTAACTCACAGTGGCTTGGGGCCATCTGTAGTGCATCGGCTGCTCCAGGGAGAACCGAGTACTGGTATCCAGGCTAATGCTGAACCATAGTCTTACTATGCTCGGCTGCACCTGACAAGAAAGCAGGTAACCTCACTTGGGTACACACGGAGGATCGTATCTATCTTGTTTTCCCCACTAGGCTCCGAGGCATCTGCCTCACCACTTTACAAGAATATCTGAAGCGTCTAGAATTTCTCACCGGGATCTTGGCTGGTATCTCTCTCAAACCTTCAAAAGGCCTACATAATCTACTTGGTCAACCTCCATCTAAAAGCAAGCTCACTGTTGTTTAGTAATAGAACTATGGGGAAATGTGTATTTCATTGTAGTTATACTAAGTCTTCTCATTCTTCTGAAATGGACAGGAACTGTTTCATAATGAAAATATAAATGAATGAATGAAGGTAACATCCACAGGCTTGAGGTGACCCCCCCCCACAGGAGCCAAGTGGCAGACCTGAGATTGAAACTCAGTTATTTACTTTCAAGGCCTGCACTCCTCCGTGGAGGGATGAGGCCACTGGACACCTCAACAGAATTCCCCAGGGCCTAGAAATAAACACCTTTCCAAAACTGAAAAGTCTTAGCCAATCTATATTTGGAAGTTGAACAATGACTTATCTGCCATTCTTCTATCTCTCAGAAATTTCTATATAAAGAAAAAGTTAAATATCAAAAGGACAATTGTAAAAAACAAACAAACAACCACCACAGTCCTTAATCCCAGGGGCACAGCCAAGAGACTCACCTGCCATTTCAGTCTCAAAAAAGCCCAGGAGTGACTGCATGAAGGAGAGGATCCACCGGTCTGTGATGTTGGGGCTTTCTTTGACTGTATTCTCATTGTACAGGAATTCTACTTCCTCTTCCTATAAACAGTGAACAAGAATTCACACGCATAGTAGGGAAGTTACAATGAGAGAAATAAACAAACTGAAAGAAAGAAAGAAAGAAAAACCCACACCCTGCAGGCAATTCTAATTTCTGGTAAGCACTAACTTGGACCATTAATTCTTCAAGTAATTATGTTTTGTGAATAGAATGAAGAAAATTTAGGATAAAACTATTTCTTTGCACTAAAGAATTACTATGAATTGAGAGATACGAAAAAATCGTGTGAAGAACTGAGTTCAACCTAGGAAGGAAATAAAATTTCAGGGCTGAATGATCACAGTACTCAACATGAGTACTGGGTATTCACTTCCATGCTGAGACTGTTCCTCTCCTAGAGTAAAGCCCCTGATTTTAGCTTTGCAAAAATCATTCTTTATCCTAAAAGCCCATTTCAGCAGTCCCTGCTTCACAAACTCACTCACTGCAGCACTGTGAGTCTGGCAGACCCGTGGTGATGCGAGCCCGCCTCTGGAGTTAAGCCCCTGATGGTGAGAAGTCTGCCCTTGCTATGTACAGATGGCCCCTCACTGTGGCAGGTGTGACCTGAGTCCCACACAAGCAGAGGCTTGTACAGTGCACTGCCTAAGGACTGCTGTCCCTACTTAGCACAGAGCCATGTGTGGAGAGGTGGCAGGATTACAAAGCAGAATGCTGGGAGGATTCCCAAAGAGAGGAATGCTGGGAAGATGCGTGCCTTTCTCAGTTTCCAGGGAAAAGGATGTGCTGGGAGCTCAAGGTGAATATACCGTAGCTTCACTAGCAGAATGAGCTGAGCCACAGTGAGATGCAGTAGAACTTGAGTGATCTACCTGATGGCACTCTGGCCAGCTTCCAGGCCCAGTCAAGCAGGAACAGAGTCACACACTCATGTCATAGTGATCTACTAGCATTTCTGCTTGACAGGTGCTGGAGCTAAGAAGAGCAGTCTTGTGGTTCTCACCCCAAACCGGGTCTTCAATACAAACAGAAGCATGTGCTGGAGGTGAGGCGCTCGACAGCGGTCAGGTGGGGGAGCAGGGAAGTAGCCCTAGACAGAGCTGTCAGGATGGGCCTCATGGGTAGGCTGGGTATTGCTCGGAAGGGCATGTGCACAGACAACTGGTATTTTTTACCCTGACCACTTCCATCCACTGTCATTCTGAGTTTCAACCAAGGCTCCAGAGTAGCATTTCCTGACCCCTCTCTCAAGTGGCCAGTCACACGCTAGCTGTCCCCCTCACCAGGGACTCATTCCATTGCCCATTTTTCCATGAGGGGAAGGGTGTCTCACGCTATTCCCAGCACCAAGAACTGGCTGAAGAAACAACTATACCATGGAACTCTCTTCCACAATCAAGGTCTGTGTCCCATATAGACCCTGGACACCCGCCACACCTTTGCATTCAGCCTCCCCATAGCTTGGGCTGCTCGCAAATCAGAGAGCAGAAAAAAATGGCCTTGTGATCCCACATCAAACTCCACCTCGTAGCAGCATGCAGCCCTATGGGCTGTACCTTCTCAAGCCTCAGGATATTCTGTGTGAAGAAGCGGTACGCGTTGTACCACGGAATCAACACATCCTTAAGGACATCCCGCACACCCTCCTCCTTAAAGCGGAGGTTTTCTGCTCTCACCACTGGAGAATTGATCAGATATAACCTGGAAGAGGGAGAAAATACACTCAGCAAACTTATGTACACAGTAAACCAAATCTTCCTACTTGACATTTTGAGAGAGCAAGATTACACTCTATACTGTTCTACATAAGGGGAAAAACATGAATACTCTTTGAATGGTCAATTTCAAACTCACTAAGGCCTTACTTTGTGTATGAGCCCTAGCGCATATCAAGGGGTATACTGTATGTAACCGACACCAAAACATAGCACTGTATCAAAAACAAGAAAAAGGTTGGCCTGATCCTCACCAAGAGCCACATCTTCTGTCCTGTGGATGCTGCCCAACCTCCAGCACGTGTGCACACAGTGCTCAGGAGCAGCTTTTGCAGACTACAGATTCCCACAGCTGAATGGCAGAGGCCAAGAGTACTTGCTGCTAAACATCCTACCAGATGCCCTTAACATAGAGAATGATCCAGCCCCAAAGACCGACAGCACTAAGAGTGAGTCTGACAGATAACAAAGTCCGGGTACAAACCCTTTCAGTGCTCCTGGGTCACACAGTGCAGCACAAAGGCAGATACTCCTCAGTCTTATCTAGGACACTGGAATACTGAACAACACCTTTATGTCCCTTGCAACATGAAAACTGTGTGACTGCATAATTATGACTATTTCAAATACTAGCTTAAACTTCTGTGACAGGTCTTCAACACTGCAGGATTAATTTTCAACTTGCTCTTGCATACAAATAGCTCATGTGGCTCTGTAAGGGCAAAATTAAATAACAAAAGAGAATTTTAATACCACCAAGACAAGGGACTTAGAAAGGATGCGCAGCGGAGGCAGCCTGCAACTTTCAGGGGAGGCCTCACGCGGCTCGTGAAATCCAAAACAGGTCCTCTTTGTCAGAAAGACCTGTGTGTTTAAAAACAGACTTACTCACAGGTACAAATTCCTTATGATGATAATGATCCTTACGTATACCTAAAATGTACCAATAAACTTAGTAAAAATACTTAAACTTTACTATTTAGAAAACTATTAAGGGGGCTTAAAATCAACAAGTATACCAGTGGAACCTTCCATATTACAGATACCCGTGTTTAAAGGCATAAAAACCAAATCTCAGAATTATGACTAATAGGGTGAGAGATGCTTACAAAAGAATGACAAAAGACAAAGAAATAAAAAAACAAACAAATAAGCAAACCAAAAAAATCAAGACAAACCATACTGTACCTGAGGGCATCAGCACCAAACTTTTGGATGACTGAAACTGGATCTGGATAATTCTTTTTTCGTTTGCTCATTTTCTGGCCATCACTTGTAAAACAAAAACTAGATGTCAATTAAATAATTAAACAACACAGCTGATTCTTACATGTGTATAAATTATTTGCAAATAACAATACATTAAGTGCAAATAGAAGCAGTAATTACATAACATTCAGGTTGTTTTGTTGACACTTCTAGCCTTTTTTCTTTTATGTGATGCAGAAGACAAAACTCAGGGTGCTGGGAGTCCAGCCAAGTACTTTACTAGACAGCTACAGTTCTGGCCTCAAAAATCTTTTTTAGTACCATGATAAATCCACGAAGATGTTCTGAAACTCATCCCAGAGAAATGAAAGCTTACAGTCACATAAATAACTGTACGTGAGTGTTTACAGCATCTTTATGTATAACCACCAAATACTCAAGGCAACCCAGACGGCCTTCAAGAGGTAGAGGCAGAGGTAGATGGGAGAGGCTCTGGGCTTCACCCACGGTACAGTAAAAATCAAACAGGTAGAAGGTTGAACTACTGTATATCCTTTTTTTTTTTTTTTTTTGGTTTTGGTTTTTCTCCGGTACCAGGAACCGAACTCACAACCTTGCGCTTGCCAGGCAGGTGCTTTTGTCGCTGAGCTAAATCCCCAGCCCCTGTATATCCTTACTGTGAAACACTACTCAGCAATGAAAAAGAATGCACAACTTGAAACTTCCAAAAGAATTATGCTAACAAAAAGCCAATCCTCTGAAATTAGATGCTGATACTATTTACATAAAATTCTTGAGATGATGAAGTTAGGGAGATAAGACAGTGGATTAGTGGCTGCTGGGGACTGAGACTGAGGGTGAAAGATGGGAAAGGATGCAGTTTTCAAGAGCAAGATGAAGAGCTAGGTGTGGTAGACCACGCCTAAAATTCTAGCACTTGGGAGACAGAGGCAGGAGGAATGCCATAAATTCCAGGCCAACCTGGGGTACAAAAGCAACTTCAGGGGCTGGGGATTTAGCTCAGCGGCAAAGTGCCTGCCTGGCAAGCGCAAGGTCATGAGTTCGGTTCCCGGTACCGGAGAAAAACCAAAAAAAAAAAAAAAGCAACTTCAAGGTCAGCCTGCACTACTTAGTGAGACCCTGTCTCAAAAAAAAAAGGCAACAGGAAGAGACCCTTGTGATGTTGAAGCCATTCACTCTGATAACCATGCTGGTGAATTCAGAAACTTATACATGGGAGGATACATTACTATTAAATACACACAAACAAATGAATACACATACAACTGGAAAAATCTGAGTGAGATCAATGGATTATGCCAACATCTTAGCTGTGATATACTCTACAAATGTGACCACTGAAGGAAATTTGACAAAATACACAAGGTTTTCTACTATGTTTTACAACTGCAGGCAAATCTAGTATGATCTCAATAAAAATGTCATGAACAAAAGGGCTGCTGCTCAGTGGTAGTGTGTGCTTAACACATGAGGTTCTGAGTTCAGTCACCCCCTCCTGGCAAAAAGCAGATTGTAGAGCTGGCTTCAAAACTCTAATTTATGCTGGACACAGTGACATTTGCCTGTAATCCTAGCACTTGGGAGGCTGAGGCAAGAGGATTACTGAAGTAAGAGCCCAGCCTGGGCTACATAACGAGTTTAAGGTCAGCCTGAACTATAGAGTGAGACCCTGTCTCAGAAAAGAACATTAAGAAATAAAAACATGCTCAAATTTATGACTAATTTTCTCTGTTCTGTGACCTTCAGCAAGTATCTTTAATTGTCTTGTGCACTAGAACTCTACACTATCAAAATGGGATAATCATAGGCCCCATTTCAAACTCTTCTGAGGATAAAATTAGTTAAGACATGTTTGCGCACAGCAGGGCCTGGCTGGTGAGGAGCACACCCTGAATGCTGGTGTGGTCCTTCCTCACACAGCGTGTGAAGCTGGGATTTATGGTGCCTGTGTGGGTGAATCTTTGTTTTTAAAGTTTTGTTTTTATTCTTAATGACTAGAGGTCATGGAAGCAATGGGAAGTAAATTTCCCATTAATACTAAGATATGACAAACACTCATTGGGAGGCAGAATCCCTGGCCTGCTGCGGTTCTCAGCAGCACTGCACCTGGCATTCCCGGCCTCTAGAACCCAGAGCTTCCTCCCATGGAAGAGTAAGAGCTGGCGAGGTGCAGCATCGCTATTATCCTGCCTGACAGGTTGACAGGCAGAGGAGGCAGCAGAAGGCATAGGCAACTTAGGGACTTAGTTAGACCCTGTCTCCAAATAGAAAACCAAGAAAGAGCTAGGGATATAATTCAGTGTGAAAATCTTGGATTCAATTCCCAGTAGCACATACACAGAGGACAAAAATAAATAAATCAATAAATAAAAATAAAAATCCACACTTCAGGACCGAGAAACAGATTAAAAAAGACTTATAAGCAAAAGTATCTCCCACAATACCCGCTTATATAAAACCTCCACCATTACTAGCGATAGCAGCAAAACAATCTGGGAGAGTGCCCCTTCCCTGCGAGAGACCTGGCTCTCAGCACACTCCTCCTCCTTAGGAAACAGTGCCGTGTGGAACCACAGGACAGGAGTGTCAATGAAAGGGAGGAGCAACAAGAAGTCTGGTATCAGAGGGGCAAGGAAGAGGGCTACAGCTGGCACTCAGTGTTCCTAAAACCCTCTACTGAGAGAGAAAACAGGGCAAGGCCCCACCAAAACACAGCTGCTTTGCTAAACCAGAGTTTGCGGGGCTGAGGACAAAGGGCACAGGCCCTGGAACTAGTTACTCGGGAGGAAAGCACCTGCCTTGCCAGGATGAGCCCGTTCACAATCACATTCTTGAACGGTGGTTTTCCAAAGAGAGCTGTGGCCAGGACCAGCAGGGTGTAAAACCTGAAAAGACAATACTTCAGTGAGAACATAAAAGGAACCCCACGCAAGAAAAATGCGCTTGCTCACTGGACTGAGTTTATTTTTGATAGATTTTACTTTTTGATGATCACATAAAGCTATGGTTCTCAGTTTTGATTACACATCAGAATCTTGTGGAGAAAGTTGGAAAGTAACAGACACAGGGAACCCAGCACAGATCAATCAAATTACAGCCTCTAGTTTGCAAACAAAATTTGCTTCATTACAAGCAAGCAAAGGCCTGCTGTGTGCTGACCCTCCCTGTGCGAGGCTCTCTCCGGAGCCACAGGCGGCACAGGGGGCTGGGGTGAGCAGAACCGCTCCACATGCCGGCTGAGAACGAGGAATGTACAGCACCTTGTATATTACTGTACCACACGATCTGGTGACAAAAAAATGCAAGAAGCACTCATAGCCAAGGGAAAATTGTAGACCTTGGTAACACAGAAAATGCCTCTGGTTCTGTCTGATATACATCTCATTTATGCATAACTGAACCTCCTCGACAGAACTCTCACAGCCCTGTTACTGGCCAGGGGTGGCACTCATGTGCCACCCTGACCTGCTCCTGCTGTTCTGGGGTGACATTCTCATGCCAATGACCTACCCGGCTGTACCGGGGGTAACACTCTCTTACCACCCTGAATTGAGCCTGCACTCTAGGAACATCAAAGAAAATGAGCTGATGAGCCCAGATCCCAATCAAGTACAAACACCTGTCCAGAGATGGGCCTTTTACTCCCAAAGAGGGCTGGGAGGACTCCTGGTGCCCAAGAGGCAGCCCGGGCCTGACAGAAGGGAAAGTGGGCAGCGAGGACATGGGCCCCACACAAGGACTTTAACAGTAACTATCATAAATTGAAAAGACAGAAAGTGACGTCAAAAGTTCCTTGAGCATGCTCCTGCAGAAATGTTACCACACGGGCCCCAAAAGCCCGCCCATACAAAGCAGGTGCCTCCCCTTTTCCCATTATGAGGCTGTGAGTACTGCTAAGTAGGGCACCAGATAAAACCAGTGCCAAACATCCAACATATTTATACATGTGGATGTCTTGGAATGCTCATTTTTACTTTTTTATTTTTTTTTTTTTCGTACTGGGAATCAAACTCGGGACTTTGCACTTGCCAGGGAGGCGCTGTGCCATTGAGCTATATCTCTGGCCCCTAGAATGCTCACTTTTAGGGCTAGAATGAATACGTAAGAACATTTCCGACTACTTCCCAAATTCCTAGCACTCAACCTATTTATAGTTTTGTTATGAATACTCACTAAATATTTGAGTAAATGATTTGAACAAGCTAAAAATGCATATTAAGTGTTTTATATTACTTTAATTTCCAATTTAACATATAGATATATTATCAAATGTTAGTGAAATAATTCAAATCATAACAATACAGCCCTACTGTAGTGAAAGAATCCTGCAGAAAAGGTAGGTTAGTGTCCATGCTGTGGGGGTTGGGCAGACACAAGGCTCGTACTGTGTGGTACAACCACAGCACCCAGCAGATACATGGCAGGCACTCAGCAAAACAGTTGCTCAATAAAAGAAAAATGAACCCAGCACTTGAAGAGCAAAGGGACATACCATCCTCTGGTTTGGTCAATGCCTTCACCTATGAAGTCTGCAGGAAAAGCATCCTCAAACTCCCTCTTGTTTTCAAACGGATAGTGAACCTGGGCGTAGGGCATGCTACCACTCTCGAACCAGCAGTCAAACACCTCGGAGATGCGCCGTAGAGGGCTCTTCCCACGGCGTGATGGAATGGTCAGGTGGTCAATGCTACCAAACAAAAGAGTTGCCACTTCTGTAAGTATAACAGAACTTCCAGTCTAACTGCCAACAGGAAATGAAAGGCCCTCATAAGATATTACAGTCATGTGTCCTATCACTGCATATACAGTGGTAGTCTTTGTAACAGAGCGAAAAACTTCCTATCATGCAGGAGCAGTGTAGTGGTCATGAGGCAGCACAAGGCATTACTCACGCTTATGGTGATGGTGGTGTCAACAAACTGACTCTGCTAGAAACTGAAAATACAGCACATACAATTATGTACAGTGTATAATACTTGACAATGATGTGCAACTCGTTTATTAGAATTTTCCTTATTTTAGAATTTACTACATATAAAAAAAGTTTGCTATATAACCACATGCCATGCCTTGCTACCAACATCCACCTACTGCTTGTGTTTCCATCTGACCGCACCAAGGACACAGCCTGAGTGACAGCAAAGACCTGCTTGGTCTCGGGGAGAACACTAGGATCTGCAAAATGACAGGATCACCCGATGATGCATTTCCAGGACACACTCTGTGGCTAAGGGATGCGTGACTACATATACACCTGCAAAGAGGAGTACCGCAGTTCTTAGAGGCTTTCCGAGAGCAAGGGGTGTGCTCACTGTGAGGGCGCACACCAAACTCACCTCATGTTTCACTGAAGGAGGGGGGATACTATCTCACCCCAACATGAATCAACAAAGTAGTTCACTGCACAGCAAGGGAAACCATCTCCAGAGTGAAGACGCAGAACAGGAAAAAATTTTTGCCAGCTACACCTTAAAGGACTAACAGCCAGAATATATAAGGAAATTTTTTAAAAATTACAAACCCCTAAATTAAAGGCCCATTTAAAAAAATAAGGATGTGAAATGAACAGCTACTTCTCAGCGGAAGAAATACAAATAGCAATAAACACATGAAAAACATTCAACATCTCTGGTCATTTAAGGAATTAAATTAAAAGAACACTGAGATTCCATCTTGCTCCATTAAAAGTGGCTACCATCAAGAAATCAAGGCTGGGTTTGGTGGTACACACCTATAATCCCACCACTTGGGTGGGTGAGGCAGGAAGATGGCTGTGAGTTTGAGGCCAGCCTAGGCTACATAGTGAGTTCAAGGCCATCCTGTACTACATAGCAAGGGTCACACAGACACACACACACACTAACAAAAAAGAAAACAGCCAATAACAAATGCTGGAGAGGCTGTAGGGAAAAAGGAACTCTTCTCCATTGTTGGTGGGACTGTAAACTGATATAACCACCTTGGAAATCAGTATGTTGATTCCTCAAAAAAGTAAAAATAGAATTTCTATTTGACCCAGCTATTCCTCTTCTAGGTATCTTCCCAAAAGAGTTAAGACATCATACTACAGGGACGTACACATACCCATGTCTATAACAGCACAATTCTTAATAGCTAAATCTTGGAATCAGCCGATATGTCCATGAACAGATGAATGGATAAAGAAAATGTGGTATTTATACACATTGGAGTACTACTCTGCCAAAAAGAAAGATAAACTCAAGTCATTTGTAGGAAACTACATTTACCTTGAAACCATAATGTTAAGTAACTCAGATACATAAGCTTAAATATAGCATGGTTTCTCTTATATAAAAAGCTATACACATACACACATATATATGTACGTATATAAAGTAAAAGACAGGTAACAGGAAAAAGGAGAGGGAAAAAAAGGTAATATAATACACCACAGATAATGTATCTAAAAGTGAACCCTGACTCAGTACAACTTTACACGCTTTGTATGTTCCTTGGCCTACTGGCCTGGTTTTCAATCTGTATATGTGATAATGAACTTTATAAGGTCTTATAAAATAAATAAATGAATCTGATGTTGGAAAAATAAAAGGGGAATGCAATGACAGTGAGGGAAAGAACTGAAACGTGTTATGTACATGTACCAATCCCGTATACTGAATGCAGTCATTATGTATTGGAAACATATGCTAATAAAAGTTTAAAAAAAAAAGTATATAAAAGAAAAATTAAAGTCATTCACAAACTAGTGCTTTCCACATGCAGCTCTGTAATTTGCCACAGACCATGTCTTAACAGAAGGATTTTAGGACTGAAGTGATCAAACACTCAGAAACTGACCTCTCTCTGTGGAGATCTGAGATCTTTGCTCCTGATAGTTCCTCCAGTTCTGCCACTGAGCCAACACAAACTATCTGTCAAAAACAAAGATAAAAGTAGGAGATTTTAAAGCCAAAGACGTTGCACTGAGTTATTTATATGGTGTTCACATTTAACTTTAGAAACTGTTGATCTTTTATTTTTATACTTTTATTAATATATGTGTATAGTATATGATCATTATATTCATTATGGAGAGTTGGCATACATACATTATATATCTTAATTCTTTTTACTTCTCTGCCTTCCTCCCCGATACGCTTCTTTTGGTGTTTTGACATGGGATCTTGCTCTGGAATTCAGGCTGGCCTTGAACTCACTATGTAGCGCCGGCTGGTCTCAAACTTACGGCAATCCTCCTGCCTCAGCCTCTCAAGTGCTGGGACAACAGATGTATGCCACCATGCCTGGCTTAATATTCTCTTAAAGCTCATTAACACACCAATCTGGGCTAAAGGCCTGTTACTACTGCAGCTTATCTCTCTTGAAAAGCCACACTCTGGTTTTGGAGCTAAAAGACAGGGCTAACTGGAACATCCAGAAGGGGGAGAATCAGCTGGCAGTGGCCACCCCAGCAGGGGCGGCTGTGGCTCTGTTACCTATGGAGTATCCAAGGTCTCTTTCCTTGCCTTTCCCATTCAGTCCTAAAAAGTCTCCTGATTTAGATGCTTCACTGGTGCCTCAGGTTGTACAAGAAGCTCATCAGTCCCTGGGGCACTGCTGCTTGTCACTGCTCTCATGCTCTCTGCATGGGAGAGAGGGTCCTGTCATGGAAATCTGGGTCTCTGCTTCTACCCGTCCACTCACCTGCCCATAGGGTTAGTTTCAGAAATTAAAGGACTAAATGCAATAGTAAATTTGTTTCCCAGTTTTCCTTTTTCATTACCTATATGATCAATTTAAGCTTAATGCTGTAACCTAAAGGGAAAAAGAGATCACAGCCAACACCAGAAAAAATTTAATATGTGGATTTCCCTGAAATAGAAACTATATCCTTCACTCTACACAGAATTCAAAACTACATTTAATTAAAATAGGTAAAAATTTAAACACTCAAGCTGGGTGTGGTGGTGGATTCCTGGAATCCCAGCACTCGGGAGGCTGAGGCAGGAGGATTATTGTGAAATCGAGACCATCCTGGGCCACAAAGTGAGCTCAAGGCCAGCCTGAACTGCATAGTGCGACCAAGTCTCAAACAAAAAAACTTTCAAAATAGATTTTTATTTTGTGTTATAACTGAAGAAGAAATGAAGCAAACACTGATGAAGCGTCAAAGAAAGAAGAAAATTCTTTTACACTGTATTCCCAAGGAAAGAACAAAGTGTCTCAACAAGTCAACACAAGGACATACGCTGGGCCTCACCTCCTCAAAGTCGTCGCTGACCCACAGCGGGATAGGGGTGCCCCAGTATCTGTTTCGGGAGACTGCCCAGTCACGTGCATCTTTCAGCCAGTTTCCAAACCGCTTTTCTCGCACAAACTCTGGCACCCTGACAGAAACATATTACAGAACCCATCAAGTCAGAACACTAGTAAGTCAACACTGTCATTGTATCTGCATAACACCTTGGGTAATGCTTTGCAGCCTACTTGCTCTGGAAACAGTGCGATCGCTGCTAGGAGCATGTCTTCTGGGCAGAGGCACCAGTATACCCAACAGTCTATGTTGATACCACTGACAGTGCAGCCATTTCCCTATCCTCCTAGCCAGCTGGGGACCTGAGCAGCCACCCCACCACAGCCAGCCTTGCTCCGCTCAAGTCTTCATGTCACCCACAGGTAAAGGCTTTGCTAAAATCCATTAGCATGGGCTCACAATAGGCGGGAGCCTCCTCTCTGGTCCTTCCTGATCCTGTACCGCAGTTTCCATCTGCAAGGCAAGTTCCCCAGCACACCGCTCCTCACTGGTCTCGGAGACATGCTGTGCCCTTCTCGCGACTCCTAACACTTCCGCTTCCAACGGGAAAATGATCCTTAATCTCTTGAGGTTCAGCTCTGCACGAATCCATCTCAAGCACAAGGCTGAGCTAGGGAATCCCTGAGCCCCCAAACAGCCTTTCCCTCTTGACACTGCAATAACCATTTTGTGTTATAAAGATCGGTTTATACGTAGGTACCCCTCAAGGCAATCTTACTACTACTGTAGGACCTTACAAGTCAGGGAATTAATGAGCTTGCTGGCTTACAAGATGGGCAAGCTATCTTTTGAGAAGTTAGTCATTTTGCTAGAAGCTTTTAGAAAGTTACAGTTTATAACCATTTCCTTTATTACCCTGTAAGTACTTAGCCTAGTACTTAACCTAGTACTTAGCCTGTATTTGAGCTACAGCCCCAGACCGCTAACATTTTTCTTTATTTTGAAGCAGGGTTTCATGAAATTGCCAGGGTGAGCCTGCACAGTCTCTGGAGTGCTGAGACCACAGACGTGGGCCACCATGCCCATCTCAAGTGCAATTCGAAGGTTTAGTTGGGTCTTTGCGGCAACCAAGAAGTAAAATCTAAATGCTCAGTGAAAGACATTCTGAAATGCAGAGGTTGAAGTCTGTTGCATTTTGTGCCCACAGGTTGAAATGATACTGTTTGATCTCCCACCTGGGAGTCAGACATCAGCAAGGGAAAGCAGAGGCCTCTGTGCTTGGACTCATGTCGAAAGCCAAGGACAGCTGACATCATCTACTTTAGGCACTCAGCAGGCACAAAAAGTACATTAAGTAAATGTGGATTTGTAGATATATCCTCAAATGTTTTTCCCGAAAAGGTGTTATTAATGTTATCAGCACCTGAGAGTAGTTATGCAATCAGATTTGTCCTGAAGTCATTCCACCCTGACAATCATTTAAATGGTAAGAGCCCATTTCCACTGGATGTTTAAAACGAAAAATGCATGCTTTATCCTGAATGCATGCTTTATTACTTCTGTTGTTGAGTATTAAATTATTGTGTTTGTGAACACATGAAACAGACAACTATTACAATAAAAGCTACTACATATAATTTGGGGGTGTGTAGGCCAATTAACTACCTACAAAGGGCAGTAGCAAGAAACGTCTCCCTGCTCACCAGTAGCACAGGTCGTTGTTCCTCAGTAAATGGTCCACCATGTGCTCCACTCGCACAAACCAGCTGGGCACTGCTTTGTAAATGAGGGGCGTGTCCGACCTGGGGAGGCAGAATCCCAAGTGCAAAGTCAGACAGAGACCCCATCCCGGGCCCCAGGCAAGACTGAACTACCACTGCCTAGGTGGCCTTCTGCTAATACTTATTTTTGTTATCGTTACAAATGTCTAAGTGTTTACAACTGGTCCTCTCCCTCAAGATAGCAAAAAAGGCAAAAGCCAATGGAAAAACAGAACTAAGAAGAAAAACACAGTTCTGCTGATGACAGCTGTCTAAGATATGACATTGCAAAGTCCCGTATCATGGGTTCTGTAAGTGTTTGGAAGCTGCTTGCTTATTTTATTTTTAGGAATTTTATCAATGCATAAAGTTGTCTGTTTCCTCAGGGTTGTGTGAGGAAAACAGACACATGTAGACAAAAATGTGATGTACAGAAGCCTCACATTCAGTCCTCACGTGCAGTTTCCAAACACTGCTGTGGTTTACATTGCGAGTGTCTCCCCAAAACCTCAGGGGCTCACAGGCAGGGATTTGGGATGGTGACCGGATCAGGGGTGCGCCTACTCATCGGGGGCTTAGTCCACTGATGGGCGCATAGCTGGCTTGCCACTCAGTGCTGAGCCCTGCTAGGAGGGGAGGCACAGGGAAAGACACATCTCTTTGCTCAGCTCTTTCCTTTACTGTTTCCCAGCCACTATGACTTGGGTAGTTCTCCTCTGCCTGGCCCTTCCACTATGCTATTTCTGCCTTGGAGACAGCCAAATATGGTGTACCCGTGAGCCAAAATAAACCTCTCTTTCTTTACGTTGTGGGTGTCAGGTATAGTGTCTCAGCCATGAATGTGACTAAGATGCTGACTCTTCAGGATACCCATGAGATGGAACCCAGAAAATACAAAGGCATGGACACATAAATCTGAAGCTCCAGCGACAACAGTCTTCATTTCCTCTCACCTCCAGCAGAAAGGATAGCTATGAGTGAAGGTGCTGGTGGCAACAAGTCGGTCCTGTTCCTTCAAGGTCCTGATGATATGTCTGTCAGCGTCCTGTTAAAAAAAACGAAGTATTTAGCCATTAAAACATCAAAGCTGGGTGCAGTAGTCCACACCTGTAATCCCAATGCTGAGACTGAAGGAGCACAAGCTTGAGTCTCACCTGGGCAAGTGAGTGAGATTCTGTCTCAAAAAAAAGAAATAAAAAGGGGTGGGGATACAGTTTAGTACAGTGGTCCTGGGTTTAATTCCTAGTACCACAGATAGATAAATTCTATTCTGCTTAGTAATAATGTATTACTAAAGTCTGACATGTTGTTATAAAGGCACAAATAACATGTCATCAAAAAATACTGTCCAGCTGGGTGTGGTGGCGCACACCTATAGTCCCAGCACTCGGGGGGCTGAGGCAGGAGGATCATTGCCAGTTCGACACCAGCCAGGGCTACAAAATGAGTTCAAGGCCACCATGAACCGCATAGCCAGACCCTGTCTCAAAAGGACAGAAAGATGAAAAAAAAAGCAACTGTCCAGGCCGGGGATGTAGCCCAACAGCACAGCACCTGCCTGGCGAGTACAAGGCCCTGAGTTTGGTTCCAAACACCAAAAAAATTAAAATAAATAAATAAATAAAAGCTGCAAAACTGTCTAGGCTGGGGATATAGCTCAGTGGCACAAGCACCTTCCTGGGAAGCACAAGGTCCTGAGTTTGATTCCTGGGACCAACCCCCCCGCAAATCTCTGGTCATTTTAAGCTACAGTAAGTCTCCAACTTATACAAATTGGAGTTGCAAACTTCACAGGTATACTATATAAGACTCACTTCACTGGCTTATGAACAAATCTGCCTTATGAACAATTTTCTTGGAATGGAACTCGTTCTTAAGTCAGGGGCTTACTGAACTTAAGCACTTAAAGTGTTTAAAACTTATGTTTCTCAGGCTGATCTCAAACTTGCTGTCTTCCCTAGTAGCTGGGATACAACACTATACTTTTTAAGTATATTGCCTAACATTTAAAGTAGTGAAATTTTCAATCGGAATGATTACAAAGCTGCTTCAAAAGACACAAATCACAGTACAATTTTCCTAATTCCTACTCCTGAATCTACAATATGCTTCCTCTAGATCAGTAATGGCAAGCCTTCTAGAGACAAGTTCCCAAACTGCAACCCAAAACCTACTTACTCTTTGCAAAATGCCAACACGGCAATGAAACCTGAATACAGAGGTTTTAGTTCAGAAAAAACAACTCGTACATTAATATATTTTGTCTTAAAGAAAAACAAATAATGTGTGCACCAAAGGTTCACCACCACTGAAACAAATACTAAGTCCTCTGAGTGTAGCTGATCGTATCAGTCTTGCTTTGATTTTTCTAAGTATGACGAGACTAACACCCTTCTAAGTCACAGAGACTACAGACCTTTACATACTGTCCTGTAAAATGTGTCACTTCTGCTGTGAAACAGCCTGAAGCATCTACAGGACAAATAGGGGCTGAGTCTTTCTGAATAATGTTGAAGTCCATACAGACGCGGAAGTCATCCTGGGAACAGACAAAGCAAGAAGGGAGGGAGAGAACAAAATAGTCTAAGTATGGGTGTGCAAAAGCAGGAAAGCACAAAGTAACAGACTGACAAGACAATTTTCAATATTCATCCCTTCCTTCCTCTCTCTCTTTCTTCAGCTTACTCGAAGGCAACTTAACCACCATTTAGGTAGTTAGAGCCTCATACCTAGACCAGGAATTGGACTGTCTAGCCCAGGCTTCACAACCATTATTTCACAGACCCTTACATATAGTATGTGAGAAGACAGATGAGACAAATAAATGCTTTAACAAATAAAATTGAAATGAAATCAAATTTGATTTATCACAGCAGCATACACCCACACCTGCAAACCAGGAGTCACCGAGGCATCAGGTACAACCTGTTTAGTACCACAAGACATTTGATGTACACATGGGTTGGTGCCATGTAAGCCCACAGGATGACAACAGTGATCTGACTTCAACACATTCACCTTATAAAAGAACCAGGTCTCAGGTGGCATAGCTCTTCTAGGTTAAAACACAGCGCTTCAAGAACAGATGGGAAGTGTCTGAAGTTGGATCTGTGTCTGTTAACATTCTGGGCTCTTCACCACATGAACCCCCTTCGCCCTCACAGTGCTGCTGCGTGGAAGGCAGCGGGGGCGGTCCCCAGTCTCACAGGGCATTTCCCTTGTGAAAACCAGCACTGATTCTCGTTTGATAGGTGACACAGCTGAGACACAAAGAACTTGGCTGGGAAGCAGCAAGGCTAGGAGTCAAAGCCTGTTTCAGAATCTGTGGTCCTCAACTCTTGCTCTGCTGCATGAATCTGAATTAAAGACATAGGCTGGAAAGCTGACAGGCTTCTTTCTAGAGTTCTATTCATCTTTGCTATGCAAGTTGCCTGGGGCAGGGAGAGACCCAATACTGTGTTACTGGGTGAGGACAAGCGCACTGGAAGGAAGGTGTCTCAGAACTGTTTACACGTGGTGCTAAAGGCTATGGAGAACTGAACTTCTACAGTGTGCAGAAGTTAGGTCAGCTATATATACTGACAGTGACGACTATCCTCATTTAAAAGGAAAATCTACAAACCAAGATATTATCCTTTATTATTACAGCAAAACCTTGGATTTGGTTATGCAAGAAAAACAAACATTTCTAATACATTTTTAACTTGATAAATAATTGAGGTTTTGTAACATGAGTAATGCTGACGTCAAATGTCACATGATCACAACTGAGCCAAAGGCTCCTCTCTCTCGCAGTGCAGGACTGTGGGTGATGTCTCAAAACACCAAGAGGTTATGGAGGAGATCTTGTCTGCAGAGGAATCCCTTACTTCAAATGAGATTAGGGACATGTGTAAAATGTGGGGAACAATTCAAAATTTTGTAGGAAAGCACCACCCAAATAAAGCTAGCAGTGTGACAGATGAATTTGTTTAAAGACAATGCAATGTCACATTTCCACAAAATCCTCAAAAGGCAAAAGCCATGTGTCCTTGGATAAGTTCCTTGTTAAAGTTGCATGAAAAGACAGATTCCACTGAGCCAACACACAGCAGTGATTCCATTAGATACTGAAAGTCATCCTACAAAATAATCCTCTTTCTTGTCCCTCACAACAGCCATGAACCATGAAGGTTTTCAAAGGTCATGAAGGTTTTCAAAGGTTAAGTACAGCAGGTTAATTTATTTTTCTTCATATTTTGTATTTTCTTTATTATTTTGTAATTATATTACAGTATTACAACCTTTTTTTCCCCGAGACAGAGTCTGCTATGTAGTTCAGGCTGGCCTTGATCTTATTATAGTCCAGGCTGGTCTCAAACTTATGGCAATTCTCCTGCCTCAGCCTCTTGAGTGCTGGGATTTCAGGCATTCACCATCACACCAGGCTGCGGTAGTTTTTATATGAATATTTCTGAGCTGTGGAACAAATTATCTGACTCTCCATTATTTTCATATAGGGAAATTCACTATGATATACTGTACAAGTGCTTCAGATTCTAAGCATGTTTCTAAAACAAATTATGCTTGCAAACCAATACTGTATGACTATTTTTTTGGTGCTGTGACTCAGATACAAACAGATTTCTTTATTACTAATTATCAGTGGAGTAATCATATCAGCTGGCTCTAAAATTACTATGAAGTGATGTCTTTTTGTTTTTTTTACTACTGAGAAGCCATATCCCCAGCCCTATGATGAGTTCTTAAAACTCAGTATTATCAGGACTGCTGACATCAGATTTGAATATAGACTGTGTACTAGGTAATATTAAAGAACTGCTGACTTTATTGCTTAGAAATAACAATGGCATGATGAATACACTAAAAATAAATGTCTTTATTCAGAGACGCATCTGGAACTACTTACAGATGAAAGGCATGATGCTGAAGATTTGCTTCAAATTCCTCTAGCCAAAATAAAAGGGTACAGGACCCCTAAATGCTAATTCATGCAGTTGGATTACCTCAATACAAGGATTTACTATACCATTTCCTTCTGCTGATGTTCAAAGGGTTCCATAATAAAAGCCCCTGCAGAGATTAGGCATGAAAGCAAAAGGATTCATGAAGACAGCCAGCTTCCCGCCCCATAGAACACGGTCACATGCCCAAGTCCTCTCACTGACAAGACAAACCCCACAGGAGTCTGTAGGTGATCCCAGCATCCTAGCAGCAAAGACTGTGAGAGGCATTCACTCATAACAGTGTGAAGCACTATACATCCGGGTACACAATTCAGTTAAATCCTCACAGTTATAGGGGCAAGGCCATGATTTAAGGCGAGGACTGGTTTAATAGGAAGCATTACCTTTACTGTCTGAGCTAGTCTAATATACACACACACACACACACACACACACGTAAAAATAACATTAAAAGAAATGCACCATCAGTAAAAGTGTTCTGGGAGACATGTAAACTGCATACCCCAAAGAGAGAAAGTTACCACATATAAATCATGAATGGATGAATGAAGACACACCAGGCACCTTGGCCTTTTGAAATGCATTAAATACCTACCAACAGACCCCCATTTGACACACTGTTTCCAGGTATCAACTCAGGGTCAATGGGATCTACA